AGAAATGTTCAAATTTATTGAATTCTTTGATTGATTGAATTCTTCTTTAATAACCATCCTTTTCCAAAAAAAAAAGTATAAACGTTTAAACTCACTGCGTGAATCATTGCACAGGTATGAAACTATTTATCAATTGGAAAAAAGGCAAACTCGTTTAAGACCGTTTCCGTTGAAAGGTGTCGTTTACCTTGCTCTGAAATGGGCAGACGTATACTAGATGACGTTTCTAGGCGAGCATTGCGAACTGAGCTGCCGATAAGGATAAGCACGTGATAAAGGCTGCTATATTTAGAACAGCAATATGGCTGCTGGCCGAACGGAACGAGCCGACAGTGGGAAGCGTAAATAAAAAAGAGCAATGTCTAATTTACTGATTTAGAACGTGCACGTTACGACACTATGCGCACGAATGAGCGGTTCCTCCCTCGCGAGAGAGGAGCGAGTTTGAGATTTTTATGGATTCCAGCTAAATTGGACCCCCTCATTACGGGAGCATCCAGTGACATATGGCGCCCACTGTCTCATTCCGTGTCCCGCTTTTTGTCGCACCGTGTGCTCGATACGGTGTATTAGCGGATAGATTTCGGTATTTCCTCCGCTTCTTCGAATTCCTCGGCGTGGTTTTCCCATTAGTGCCTCGATTTACTCGAACGACTCATTGGCGCGACGTAAAAGCGCAGCCATTTTCCTTATAGGCAATCCGCCACGACTTGTATAACTTGTGTAAAAAGCGAGGTTGTCAGACAACTTCTCCTATCCGCGATATATAATTATGACTCTTACAAGGCAATCGATTAAACTCATCGTCAGGTCTTACAGAATGAAATAGGTCTTATAGGAATGTCATTGAGAAAAGAACGCTCCGTATTTCACGATAATTTTATACGATACTTTCTATATTCATTATATATGAAAACCGTAGCGTTTAAGAATAACATCGATACTTTGATATCGAGAAGGAAGAAGGGTAGTCAGTAATCAACGACTCCATCTTTCTCAAGCTGTTTTATTATGTCTCAACTCTTGTGCACTCTCCACTTACAGCGAACAATCTCTTCCGAGAAGTATATTTACATTTCCGATGGTTATCACCGTGCAATTCGCCTTGCACAATGTACCGTAATATCGAAACGGACATGGAGTGTTTTTTTCTAATGGCTAAATTGCTGAAAATTTTCATCTCATCATTTTCTCGATGTACCTTATCTTACTGCAAAGTAGTATGACGCACACAAACCGCGTCACGTCATCTCAATGGCAAAGAACTCGGCAGTGTATCATTGTGTTACCGACTGTAACGCAAGATCAAGGGCACGAAAGCCAATCCGCATGCGATTAGAAACCCCTTCGTGCGCGTTTTTATGAATAGCGCACGATGATATCATGACGCATTGTGCAAGGTGAATTTTATGGCGATAACCATCGGAAATATAAATATACTTCTCGGAAGGAGTTGTTCTTACTGTGCGCGCACGTGGGACATAATAAAATAGCTCGAAAAATATGGGGTTGCGGATTATTCTCTCCCCCGGTTCCTTCTCGGTATCAGTGTTGATGTTACGTTCACTCCGTTATACTTACGGCGATAAAGTCATTAAGGCGGCGCTTTTAACGACAGTGTCAATCGCACGCGCACGAACCGAGCTCGATACTCCCGACTCGAAAAACGCCGCACCGAAATATCCCCGAGACATATTTCTGTCCGCTCTGTATAACCGGGTGCGAGATATTGGAGCTTCGTAACGGGGTGTCGTACCTTTTTTCCGATCCTGACGAGATGCAGCCGTTGCTTTGACACCCGCACACCTCTCGGCTTCCACATTATTTTTCCCTTTCATTAGCCGCCAGTCGGCCGACTGTTTTCACGAGGTGGTACTCTGTGTAATTTTTAGCAGAGTAGTTACAAATATAATATATGCCGGCAGTGTCTCAATAAATTAATCGAAGTCTTGAGGATTAAATCCCGAATTGAACGTGAATTTTTTTCGCATGCCTCATTCTCACCAATTTTACTTATTAAATAATCTATTCTGTAATTGAGATAAATATTCTCTCTTTCTTTGTGAATTTCAAATGTCAAATGTTCTGATAACAAGAGGAGAAATGTCATCACCGCAACACCGCGAGTTCTGTTGGACGGAATCGATGATTCATAACGATCTTTGCACCTCGACTCGGCTCCGCAACACGTTTAGGAAAGAAATCTGCTCGAAGATTGGTGCACGCGCGATCCACGTAAACGGCATTAACGTAAGCGCATTGGAATTCGAGCCGCTGAATCAGAAATCTCGTTTACATACACGAGGTTTCCGCGAAAAGTTCGTCGTGAGATGAAAATCTTTTCGCAGCCGGATCGTTGTATATTTACACCGACATTGTGTACCTTCTGCCTCGTTGGAGTGTTACTTGATAAGTAGAGTTTCACGTTTCCCCATCGATTCCGAGTCGTCGTTAAATTCTAGCGAGAATCCCGCGGCATTTATAAATTCGCGTGAATTCTGTTGAAAGTGAATTTCATTATAACTGGCGACACCAAAATATGTAAAAAAGTAATTTGAATCTACATATAGGTGAGAGATGGCCAAGAGAATCTTTTTACATTCAACTTTTTACACAGACCTGCCCGTGGCGTTGCACAATAAGGTGAAATTTAACCTCGACATGTTCAACTTAATACGCGATTGCGCCGGTACGTAATAGGCGCTATTGTCGATATTGTAATGAGCGCATTGAAAACGTAATCTCACGATTGTCCGTAAAACGTGTTTGTTTCGCGCGGAAGAGGCTTAGCCCGATCCGGACGGATCCAGCTGGATTTCGTGATCCAGGTTCCGATTTCTCACAACGATTCCAATTTATACGAGCTTCGGTAATCTTTCTCTCTCTTTCTCTCGGACGAATGTACAGGCACGTTCGAATCGCATGGTTGCATGTGATCGCAAAAGACTATGTGTTGAGAGGCTTTCGACAAGGTGATAAAACCATACGACTGGCTCGTAAAGCTTTACCGACGAAAAGTCAAGTTTCGACGACCCTTTGTGTGTAAACACGTTGCAAACATATGTCAGCGACGTATCAGAGCTGACACTCGATAGATTTGTAACATTGGTACTTTACATTTGAAATATCTCGTGTTCAAGGGAGCGATGCGAATTAGGAAGAGCGAGTTTTAGGAAGTACAAAGATACGTATGATTTATTATGAGAATTTCAACACTTAACTGCGCTTTATCGTACGTTTAAACATCAAATTAAATCTCAGGTTTAATTTAACTGAAATATATATGTAGGAAAATATATAAAAATATTGATACATACCCATATATATACATACTCGTATAATTTTATATGAAATGTGGTAAAATATAAATTGATTAGCGAAAACGCGCACATATTTCTTCTATTCTTTCATATATATCCTGCCGGCTTCTAATAACTTTCTTAGTACGAATTTATGTCTATTATACCCCAAATCCGCAAGCAGTGCCTCCTAAAAGCGGATGTATCAGTGTGATTGTTGGCATATGCGGCATCTGCGAACGGGGTGATCTGGTGTCTGGTTTATTTTCGGTGCGCGCGAACCCCCCCCATAACCGGTCGTATCTGAAGGGTTGATAGCATTTTATGCTGCGCGCGTGGCCAACTGTCTCCGAGTTAATTATGGACTAATTGTCGAGACTCGCGTCGTTGGAACTTTTTACCGTCCTGCCAAACGCCGTCTTCCTTCCTGTTGCTACCGAACTTAGTCAGAAAGGATTTAACTCGAAAAGAATCATCCCCTACTCCTTTTAGGCGTATTTTTTGCCTCGGCAAATATTTAACATGACTTATTTTTTTCTAACGAATATTAGGTATTGCAAATGCGCTCTATCGCTTATCGTTAATTTTTCTCGTCAGTGATCAATGAGACTTTTATATCTAAGCTTGCATTTTATATTATGACCGTTTTTTGAGCGTTCAAATTGTATACTCATCAGCTCATATTGACATCCCAGTCACGTCTAACCGTCCAGGTCTGCCGACGAAATCCACTGCTGCATCTAGACTGTAGACCGTAGCTCCGCATCCGTCCAGCAACCAGCTGTTGTTCCACGTCGGTCGCTCTTCACTCATTTCACTTCCCTGCACTCGCGACCGTGATTATTTTTACGGCGATTTAACGAAAAATACACAATAAATTTCAGTGCTTGAAGAATCTACTTGCTAACGACGTGTACAAAATTATCAATTAAATATCACGGCGTTGCAACGAGATCACGGAGGAAAAAGAACATTCGCTCAGATGATGAATGATGACTGAATGAATCATAACTGAAAAATCGAAAATAACGTCTCCTGCAGTATTTATCATATTTTTGTAAAAAAAATAATTTTTATGAATTAAGAGGAAAAAATATTGGATTGGGAGGATATCTTCAAACGAAGAATTGTATCAATTTGAAAATATCGTTTTTTCTATTTAATATGCTTTCCTTTCAATTCATAAAAATTATTTATATGACATTTTTAGTGGAACTGTATAGGATTTTTTCATGTAACTAAGTTGCATCTTCATATAAAATTATATATTCTTGCTTAATATGAAGATACGAGTCTCGAATTGATATTAATTTTTTTCCACGTACTTAGATATGTTATTGTTTCCGCGGTCACGTGACTTTTCGTCGACGAGACGCACCTGGGAGGATCGTTGGATATTCTTTTATTTAACGTTTCCCATATAATAATATAAATATTACACATTATTTGGTGGCATTCGTTTCCCTTTGATATCCAAATTATCCAAATACTGATCAGCGTCGCGCGAAAGATGAGCATACACGTCTTTTTTTAGAAGATAATTCTTAACATAAATCTTTCTGGAGATTCTCTAAGATTTGATTACATTATTATATCGTAAATATACACTATATACTATAAAGTTTACAGAGTAGTTTTATGAAGCTGCTTTTTCCAACGTATATTCAAATGTTCATAGGTGACTTTCGATTTTCGTTGCAGACGACCATCAAGGTCTACGCCAACTGTCTGCGGCCGGACATCGAGTATAAGACTTTGAGCATCACCTACGAGACAACCTGTCGCGAAGTCGTGCAAAACCTCTTGAACAAATACCGTATGAGGCACCGTGATCCTCGATTGTTTTACCTAACTATGGAAGTGACCGTGAGAAGGGCCAATGTACGCACCATCATACCGCTCGACGAGGACTCACGGCCAGCCGTCCTGCAATCCTGCCATCCTCGCGGCGATTCCAAGTACGTTTTGCTGCCTTTGTACTTGATCACCGGCCCTCCCTCGGTTTCGGTCGGCTTCGTGACGTAATTTCAGGGCTCGCGTCCATAAGCACGTCCTGTGGATCGCTGAGCACGAGCCAACAATGGCGAGCGTCGCTCACCAACATAATCCTTGGACACAAGTGGTCGCGTGGGTCTCCGCGACTTTTAACCCGCGGTTCACGAAGAACGCGTCTGTCCGGTTGCGAAGTCGGGCGGAATTTGCGAAATGCCATGGTGGTCTTGATCGTAAACGCTACAGATCGCTGGAAAACGCGCGGAAACGACCGAGATAATACGGTCGTGTAAACGTATCGTTGACCGATCGAATGGATTAATTAATTTTCTACCATCACAGTTTAAATCTAATCGACGATTAACTCAACGGAATTGACCAATCGCATTGGCCGATTAGCTGAACTGATCAATGCGATCGGTTAATTCCAGTGAGTTAATCGTCGATTAGATTTAAGCCATGATGATAGAAATGGGTATTAAAGTGACTCTCACTAAACTCCGATTAAGCTAATCGGAGATATAAAATTGCCGTCAGTCAAGTGTTACCTGTTCTATCTTGCTAACGTAAATAGAAATTATTCACCTTCCGATTATTGTTGAACGACAAGTTACGGAACTGAAAATTGGTGTTGACAATTCTCATTATTATTCATCGATTAGCTTAATCGGAGTTTAAAGAGTTTGGTAGAAGTTACCCTTACCTTTTTCTCAGTGATTGTTGGAACGACCGATAATCGACAATAAATTTTTAATGATTTTAAAGGAAAATGGTCACTTCTATTTTTAGATTTTATTTTATCCTGTGTTACGAAAATTGTAAAGATTCAGGTCAAGATATATTACTGCGTGACGTATTGTTTACGAAATGTACTCTTCTTAAAAGTTGATATAGCACTATTTGCGCAGTTGGCAATCTGTTAATGTGCATTATGATGGAGAAGTATACGATATCGTGTTATGTGGTGAGCCGTGGAAAAAATTATTGCAATTCGCTAGTTTATGAAAAGAATAATCGGCGCAGCGTTGATGTTCGGAACGGTTCATTTGCGAAGGAATTCTAACGCGCGCGGCCGATGTTTCCTCAGTAGGTTGAAACTTCCGGCGCGACTATACGTAATACAGGACGAGAGCATTTGTCTCCCAGCACAAACCGGTGCTTTTACTCTGAAATAACGCTCGTTGATGTCCTTTGAACTCACCGACTCCTGCCAGCGCGTCGCGGAATCTCCGCTGTATAAACTTGTGTGTGCTTACATATGCCTCCTCTCGTTTGCAGGTTTTCGTTGCAGACGCGCCGTGGCGGACTCGTCAAAATATACGACAGCGCACTCATGTCCGGGGTAAGTAAATTTTCATTTTTGTAGAAACTAACAGACGCGAACTGCGTCCTAACGTTCGACACTTAACATTAAACTAAACTATGATATAACATATTATATTTTTAAAATATAAAAAAAAATATATATATATATGCAAATATAAATAAAAATATATTATGAATGTATGTAATATGTAAACAGAATTATTTTTCTTTCAAAACTTATGATTTAGAGTAAATTGCAAATTATATTGTATAATATATATTACATTGGTACATATGTAATTATATTATTGTATTGTACCTTTTCTTCTAAAATCATCAGGATTAATCGTTCCTCCCATTTTCGCATATTTTGTATCGGTCACGGTACGTAAAATCGGCAACTATATTGTTCCCAAGCATTCCCCGCGCGATAATAAAATTCTTCTTCCAAGAGGTTTCATTCTTTACCGCAATAATTGAGAGCAAACGGAATTCTTATGGTTCGCAGTCTAAGTACAAGAGCCTTCTGGTCTCGGAGCAGACCACCGTAGACGAGTTGATCCAGATGCTGCTGAGTTGCTACAGCTCCAAGGAACCAGTGGAGCAGTTCTCTCTCTACGAGGTCTGTGAAGGTGAAGAGTACCAGAGGAAATTACACCCCGACGACTCCCCGCTCAAGGTTACGCAACGGTGGACTAGTGTGGATCGACACCTTCGTATTAGACGCAATCCAGATTACAATCCACACAGGCGGAAGGTATTTACTATATTTATTGCCACTTTAGTGCGAGAGCTCTTAAATCTGTTTAAATGCGTGAACGTATTCATTATCAGAGTGAGAAAAATCCACACTGAGAAGAAAAGTAGTAGAATCAGCGAGATTTTGTTTAAGCGAACAACACATTTTCAAACGCAACGTTTAGTCCACTGAAGAAATTATGCAGTTACCGTAATGAGTTATCAATTGATTCGACGATCGCGATTTGGCCTGCAACTGTATCGACGCAGTATTTTTTGCGATGAATTTGACCGTCAATTTTACTGACCTAACAGTTTTTCCCATGCGGTGCATTTGAACGAAAAGAATGTTTTCGCACCCTCCGATTTATTGAATAAACGAATGTAACTTTCTCAAAATGTCTCCGGCTAAAAGATTGACAAGTGATCTCCATCAGTCGCTTTGTTTATCTTTACGAAGCATACGTGTGAACAAATGCACGGCTCAAATTGATTGTGATATTTGGTTTGTAAAGAAGCGATACCTATCTCTCACGTGGTGACTCAGCTTCGACGTTCCTCTCGCCGTCGATCTTCCGAGAGGAAAGAGCACGAAGCGCATTGCACACCCAAACAAAGAGAGACCGTAGTCGTCAAATCCAATCCGTATAATTACGCTGCCATCGGAATTATTCATAAGGGCTTGATAGAAAGTCAAATCCGTTACACAACCCGGCGTCGTTTCAGAGCATGTGGGCGTCGGATTCGAGCATCACCATGGCGATGTCGAGACTGAATCTCCATGACGATCTTCCCAACTATAACGCCAGGCTCGACAATAACAATCACCTGAGCCTGCATCACCTCGCCGGGAAAGTCACCGCTATCAATAAGAGCAACAACAACAACAACAACATCATCCATCGGGATCAACATCACACGTCGCTGGGCTCCATCAGTCAGATGCCGCGGATTGTCGTACCTCACGCCGCGGATCTTCCGCAGGTGCAACTGCCGCGGGTGCAGCAACTCCCGCAGAGCGTCCCGTCGACGCCGCTCTCGTCGAAACACGTGACTGCCTCTTCCTACGCCGATTACGAGAATTATCTCTTTATATGAGGACCGTTTAATCGTTCACGAGCTTGCATCGGGCGCGATCGAAGACGGAGAAAATCGGTCGCGCATGTTCACCTCGCAAAATGGTCAGAGTTACCAGGGATTCGTTGGTGGTGCAACATGCGTCAGTGCTATTTGATTATTCTTCATGCGTAACTTTCGGACGTCGAATATTACGAATACTCTGAGACGTGATTAATGCTGCAAATTCTAAGCAAATTTGTAAATACATCGTAAAATCGTAAAATCGTAGCTTACGAAGCATTCGTAAGAATCTGATTTTTCACGCTTTACGTGACGGTTTTACTTAAATTGCAATTATGTATTACGATTTGCACCACTTATCGTTACATGTTCATGATTATGATGAGCGGCTAATTTCAAATATAACATGTCATATGAAAGTCATCAACTTATTTGCAGATTCAAGTGATTGGTTTTTTTTTTTTAATATGAAATATGCCAATTTTTATGATTTATATATCATTAAAAAATTTTTTATTCATATTTTGGGTCGGGTGAATATTTTGGGTCGGTTGAAAATTTGTTAAGCTTGTTATTAGTTATTAGTTGTGCTCGTAAGCTCACACACGAACTGTAACTTGACAAGCAGCTTCACAGTTGGCTGTAAAATTTACGAAAAGTCGTAAATATTTATAAGTGATCGTACGTCTTACGATACACATAGAATTACAGTTCCAATCATAAGTTATTACGAATCTTACGGAAATAAGTTACGAGTCTTACGATTTTACTTAGAATTGCGCAATATAAATGTATATCTTTGAAAGATAGTACAAAAGGATTGGTGCCTTTGGTGTGAAATAATTTTGCTTAATTCTTGCTTGATCCGATCAATCTCGCTACGATGACACGCGAGGAAATGTTTATTTCTTTATTAAGAGGATCTGCGTGCATCGAAGAAGGATCATTTTCGATCGGACATCACGATGTTCGATTGATAATTGAATGAACGCACGAAACGCATTTGTACTTGCCGATGATCTTTCTTCCAACTGCATTTCATTATGTCCGTTATAGTAGTGTGGTATTCTAAATGAAATTCAACGGGAATTTCCGACAAACTTCTGAATATTCAAACGCTCGTTTGACGCTTGCGTCTCGGCTGATGGAAGGCCGCGATAACACTGAACAAAGAGAATTTACGATATTAGTTAGTAGTGAGGGAAATTGTACCAAAGGTAGACGTACGTAATATATATATATATATACATATACATATACATGTATAAAATATACGCCGCATTAAAATTTGCGGCGCTTATATCAAGCCTGATTTAAAATTTATGTAATTTTTATGAACTCACATTTTTGTCTGATATTCGACAGAAAGCATCAAGCGTCGATCACGATGGAAACCTTGGAAATTAATTGTTTTTTTTTTTATTATAATTGTATATTTTATTATATAAATTGTCAAGTGTCCTAGGATAACGGCGAAAATATAATCGCACAGTTCAAAAGTAAGACGCGCTCAAGTAGAGCGACGTATTTGAAATATGTGAGCGTCAATGAAACAATGTAGCATTATTTATTTATGTTAAAATGTAAAGCGTCTAGTTAAGCTCGTTTGAAAGCAATTTTAAATTATTGATAGCGCTCTCTTCTGTGCAAAATTTCGTGCAATCTGAGCCGACAGACTACCGAATATCCTCTCTGCGTGTGTAAATACTAATTGACGGGCGGAAAGAGAAAAACGGCAAATATTTAAGCAACACTCGCTGTTGTCGCATTGATTAGAACTCCCGTGAGAAATAATCGCTATCAACAGTGCATGTATGTACATATCGTTCCTCCTAATCACGCGTGATTACGAAAACAATTGATTAAACGTTCAACCTCCTAAGCCCTCTTGTTTGCCGATCGCAATTCAATTTCTTTCGCCGTCGTGAGAAACAAACAGCTTTATCGCGTCAGAGCTAATCAACCGTGCAGTGGTAATGCAACATTTGAGATTGTGCGAAAGACTTTGAGAGTTACTATGCGGTAATGGCGATTCGCGCGACTTCGTCATTTCCGCACGGAAGGAAATGAACGAAGATCAGCCGTATCTTCTCGCCACCGGGTTTCTTTATATCCTTCTTTGCCAAAGAGTCGGTACGATGCGTATATGAAAGTGTGACACGCGCGTCGATTATTACGGCAGCCGAATGTGCATTTACATAGAAGAATCCTTGTTGCGTATCTCGTCAGTGGTGGCGTGCGTCGATGGGACGTAGTTTCGTGTCGCAACTTCCGCGTTCTCGAGCTAATGTACCTACGTAGAGTGTAAATACCTTTTTGTATTATCTCTGTTCATATTTTATAAGAGAAAATATCGAATAATGATTTATGTGTCCTAAATCGTCCCTTGTGTTCTTATTCTTATTCCGCCTGTACGTAAAATTTAAAAAAAAACGATTGTGCGTTCGCACCGACGACAATGTGACGATTGCTTTAACTTCATTCACTGTGAGATAGAATTTTTCGTAGTGCATAGCTGCCCTCTAAAATATTTTTCTGATTGATCGAGGACAGCCTGTGTGGGAAGCAATATAACGACGGTGTCTCATGTGATGATAAAAATTTTATTTACAAATGCGATAAATGTAGGAATTCGGGTACCAGTGACATGTGGGAGAGAATCGACACGATCGACCGATCGATCGTCCACAACAACTGGTTACAACTGGATCCTCCTTATATTCCGCGCACTTTTCTCTCTTACTTTCGCTTTTATCTCTCCGAGACGTCACTGGCGAAGGAGATAATCACTGAGATGTAACAATCATAATCTTTACATTAAATACGATTAAAGTTTAGCTATTTTAAGGGCTATGCGGAATTACAGTAATAGAAATATTTAGTTTCTCGAGAGGGGAGGTTCTTCCTGTTGCAGGATTCTTTTGGGGAGGGAGGAGGGTAGGTGGTGGGACGTGTCGGAGGAGGAGGATGGGGGGGCTGGGAATATACTTTTTTAAGTTTGAAAAGGATAACATCACAGCATTGACATATCAACATCGAAACGATCAGTGCACCGCGTTCCTCGAAAGTCACCGAGCAGTTTCCGACGAGTTTCCGCTCACTCGCATAGCGCGCCGATTCGATATAAGAAACAGGGAGCGAGTGGTTGCTCGCCGTGGCTGCTCGGAGCTTTTTGAGGGGTGCGCTGCAACGGCCGTAGCACTTTTCGTTTGCTATAGAACAATTTACAACATCTCATTAATTAGACGCCTCAATTCCATCTTCGAACAACTGCACGCATTATACGCAAACTGTGTTCTTCTGTAATCGGCCTCTCTCATTCGCTCGTTCGCTCGTTCACGCACGCACGCATATTTCCTCTCTCTCTCTCTCTCTCTCTCTCCTTCCCTCTCTCTCATTCTTTCTCTCTCATTCTCTCTCTCTCTCTGACTTTCTCTCAATCTCTTTCTCTCCCTTCTTCTTCCCCTCAATACATCTTGCATCTGCCTTACAATCATAACAATTAGATAATCGAATAGTAGAAATAGAACTGGCACAATCTAACGCAATAGTTCACAAATATTCTCTTTCTTTCGCTCACTTTCATACCCTCTCTCTCTCTCTCTCTCTCGCTCGCTCGCTCGCTCGCTCTCTTTCTCTCTCTTTTTTTCCGTTATTGGTGCAACAACAGTGAAATAAAGTTCTTTCCTCGAGGAAAACGAATGGATCGCGGATAGGTCACGTGGCGCGTTTAGTCACGTGCTAAATAATCTTTCTGCGTGCTTATCAGTGGGCGACACCGATCGCGCGTTCGCGACAGGAATATAGATAATATACAGAGAAAATCTTTGATCCGACGAACCAGCCACGAAAGGAAATTATCGAGGACGCTCGCGCGTACACGAAGTCTATCATTCGTTCGACGACACGATCCCCACGCATACGACAGGATTGCGTCTGGTCCTCGCACAAGTGCTAGTCGGTCCGAATCGACGATTATTTTCTCGCGATGCGCGCGATGAAAAGTCCGAATTTCGCGAGCACACTTAACGGTATTGACGATGCCGTAATATATCGCGTTAACAATACTTCTAATACAATCTAGATTGACCAAAAAGCAGCACACCGTGTACTTTCGAACAGCCACACAAGATTACAATTTAATAATATACGAATGCAGAACCAGAGCCATATTCTCACCGCTGTGATCGAATAAAACTCACTGACGAAACGTCGTCTTGCTGAATAATTATACAAGAGCAAAGGACGCATTCGCGGGTCGATTCGGGCCGATGTGCATGACGCTGCCGCGCGCACAATCTTACACTGCCGCTCTCCTCTCTTCGTTATACAGTTATACTTTCGAAACCACATACCGCGGCCAGCAATATTATTGCGAAAGCCTTAAGGCTCGATACAGGGACAGGCATTTCGCGATATTTTAAGCACACCGAGGGGATTCACACCGGCCGAATGTGCCTCGCGACATTTTGGGTCGCGGAGGCACTTCAGAGGCCCATGCTCAATCCTCGTTTGGACCTTCCAACCATATTGAGATTGCATTCAGTGAACACGTCGATGGGACGAACGAGGGAAATCGTCGTCGACGACTCAGCGCATTTCTAGCATCGCATGCTGCAAATCGACGAACGAAAATCCACAAAATTTGTTGCCACGTCGATCGAAATGTATCCTATCTTAAGAAATACTGAAAAACCTGCGATCTCATAACCGGGATCTTATTCTACCGCCGTCGTGTGTGAATTGCATTTGAGACTAGAATTATTAATTACAAAGTACCCATTACGCGATTAATCATATAGTTAGCGATCGATCGGATTATCTTCGCGCCGACAAGGGTGGTTATTTGTCGTCTCGAAGAGGCCTCTCGATCGATCGAAGCGATCGTCGTCGACGATTCCGCCACGATAAATTCGCTAAAATCTTACACCTGCGCACGTCGTACAAAATCAAATTAGATCCGCGAGTAGCTTCAAGATTTCCACTCTGCCCACGTGCGAAGCTAAAAGCGGCCTCACAACTCCGTACAACTCCGTCTTACAAATCCACGTGCACACGACTAAATACTCAGTACGTAATCACCGTTATCATTAATCAATCATCGATATATAATCAAATAGCAATTAATTATTAAAATCTCTCTTTCTTCCTCTCTCTCTCTCTCTCTTTCTCTCTCTCTCTCTCTCTCTCCCTCCCTCTCCAACTTCAACAAATAAATATCCGGATGCGCAAAGCTTCGCGAGCGAGCGCATCGATAGTATGCGCGCGCGAGCGATTATAAGCGCCTGACAATCCGAATGGCGGAATTAACTAACTATTAATTAACTAAGCGAATAATTACCATTATACGTGCGAGCCAACGAACCAAATCTCACGCAATTATCAGGTCAGTTCGCGCCCTACACACGCGCAGTTCGTACAAGTGCAACATCGAACGTTCATTCTTGCGCCTCCAACCTTCGCGCTCCCCTTTCACCTAACGTCTCGATACTCGTAGAATCATTTTAGTCTTCAGAAAATTCGTATGTTCCCAATTGGACTTTCAGTGTTTCGCCTCGCCTATGATCATCCTCGACTAGTCAAAGCTTCTTATCTAGCATAACGCCTAGACGACGGGACTCTCTACTCAAATGTACTCTGTATAAAGTCCATGCTCCGATCGAATTTGGAGTCGTCGAATTTCAAAAAAAAATATCGCCAATTGACACACAAATATCGCGCTTTTTCGTTAACACAGCGTAATCGCGTAAAATTTATACGAATTCAGAATGGGTCGCGTATCAATCTCGCCAGAGAAAAGATTTCAAGTTTATTCTGTAATTTCACGCCGTGCCGTGGCGAATTTGTTCAACGATGACAAGCTTTCCAGCAAAAATCCTCCGAAGGTAATCGTGCCTTCTTAATCTGAAAATTCGACGACGCGATTTTTCCCGACAGCGAGGTTTTCAGTCGATCGTGTGGCTACACGCAGAAACTACGAGCGTCGATCTAAGCAAATTGTAAGGTCGAAGGACGGGGATATTTTTCTTTAGGATCGTTTCCATCGAGCTACATACTGAATTCTCGGCGCTACTTGAACGCTACGTAGATCAACGTTATCAACGATACCGAAAGTAACGGATGGATCGTTCTTAAACTCAAGTCCGATATCTTCACCGCAGGTACTAAAGGAACGTTTCCGCACATGTACATGTATATATGACCGTATCTGCATATATCTGTATGTGCGTGTGCGTGCGTGCGTGCGTGCGTGCGTGTTGTGTGTGTGTGTGTGTGTGTGTGTATGTGTGAATGAGTCCTTCAATATACTCACAGATGTGTGAATTTTCATCTGCTTATTCCGAGGAGTTACAAAATATTATAAAAATTTGCATCTCGACAATCAAAGTGTCTACAAGATATATCTTGCATGACTAGGACTATGGCGTACGACTTTACTCAGACGTTCGCTCAGACCTTTGCTTGGCCCACAAACAAGCAGAATCGATCAATCAATCAATCAATCAATCGAGCGATATATTCGATCTCGCAACGAATGATGTTCATACGCGGGAAACTGCATCACCGAATTTCACCGTAATGCAAATTAGCACTATGGTTGTATTTTAAATTATTATAAGTTTTAATAAGTTCAATTATTATAAGTTAATTAAGCAAAATTAACACATTAACGCCACGTCGCTCGCATTTGGGCGATACGTGAGTTCCCGCAGGAGGTCACGTCTCTCCGATTGTGGCTGACGGTTTTATTTACTCAATTAGATATTCAATAGTAATTCTACTAAGATTTAACCGAGTCGAGCATAACTCGTGCGGCTGGCAATGTGTTAGAGTCGCGGCACACAGAAAAACTGGGCCTGATGAAACTCACACGCTCAACTTCAACGTAGCAGTCAAAGTATTAAGTATACTCAACATGTTTTAGATCTAGTTCCCACGAAATATCATGTAACTATTCACGAACTTGTGTAATAGCGAGAACGAAAAAGAAATACACCGGAGAAAGTCACGGAAAGTATAAATCCGATTTTTTTTATTGTAACCAAACCAAGTACCGATCTCTCATTTGTCTCATTCGATGCGAGTCGATGCAAGAAATGAATTCGTCGCACGGAAGCGGACACAGCGTGTGTATCTTTCGTCAAATAGACTCACAGCGATCGTGACGAAACGTCTTTTTACCTAATATGTACAAGTCTGGGCTGCGAGAGGACCTCGTGATCGTTAATCGTCCCGAAACGTGCGCCGTGTCGCTCGTTACGAAAATTTCGCGTCGATCGTACTCAGCGGTGATTTTCAGGCGATCGTTTGCCGAAGAATGGGATATCCGCTGCTCTCGACTTCCTTATTCAAATGCGACGTTAGATATTTATACCTGTGTGTCTCTTCTTTTTTTTTTTTTACAAAATTTCAGCCTAAGACAAAATTTACATCCTCGACACTGACAAGCGATACTGACGCAGTGCTTTACGTCGGCACGAAATTTATGCGAAGCTTCGAGTTGCTTCAGAGGCAGAGATATATTCGTGTATAAATATGTATCTATCTAATTGTAAGATTCAAGTATTAAAAGAGACCAGCATGATCGTAACGTGCGCAAATCAATCGTGTTTCACGACACGCTCCCTCCTAGAGGTGTGTCCTTAATCGGTACCGATTCATCAAGCGCGATCCTGTGAAATTCAACGTCTCGTGTGAACTAACGTTCTTGAACTATCATTTGCAGATACATCTCGATCGAATAACGTAAGAAATAAACTAACTAACCGATTAAATAACATTAAGTAACTTAATTAAACATATTATCAAGTAACGTTTAATCGTTCTAATTAATTAAATAAAGCTGAATGTGACTGAGTTGAGTAAGATCGAAGGAGAAACCAAATTCCCGGAACGCAATTATATTCTTCTCTACTTTGAGTTCTTTTCGAACCGATTTATACAATTATAAAAAAAAAGATTACACATCGCAAGTAGGTACCAATTAAGGATGAACTTTATACCACTATTTAACCATAAAAATCATTTCTTCAAACGCCACACACTTCCTTCCTCTTTCTCTCTTTTCCTTTCTTTGCCAACTATACATATCTATCTAACGTTTAAATAGCGAACAATCAAACAAACGAGTGACCTATATGAGTTCAAACCACAATCCGATAATTTACAATCTTCACGAACGCATCGAGAATCGATCGCAGAAATGTGCAAAAATCTATTCATGCTCTGTGAACTCTGCGACGCTTAGAATAAAACAAGTCTACGCAAGTAATTTTCTAAGACCCGACGATCAAGAGGTCGTGTACTTTCAACCAATTTTCTTCCTCCTCTAAAAGAACGGCTCAATTACTCAGTTACTCGACTCTCGAAGGAACAATGGTTTTACCCGAAAAACGTATGAAAGAAAACGAAACCGAGATTACCCGCGCCTAGTTTATGCTAGTTCTTACAGTGACGTAACATAACATCAGACATCGCTATAGTTTTAAAGGCTTGGAAAAAATCCAATTTTTTTTTCAATTTTTCCGCGATTTTTTCAATTTCCTTCCGTGAATGAATGAAAGAAATTAGGTAAAATCCAGATTTTTCAATTTTTCCACGGATTTTTTTGATCTCTCCGAGCAAAAACTCAAAAATGCAGTTTTTTAAAACCATAGACCAATAAAAAACGCGGCATTTGTACGCAGCCGCCACGTAGGGAAAGTTTTCGATAAATTTCTTCTAAATGATGTGATCCATGCCGATGATTGTGATCTATTTCGAACAACTTGGCCGCGAGAACGTCCTAAGAACTTTTATTTTCGTCAGAATATTACGTTTGTGTTGTCCCCAGCAAAATGCGGGATAATCGTCATCCTAGGCGGGAAATACTTCATTTATGTGCCTGTACAAAACGGGCCGACACACGTTCGATCCTTTTTCTTCTTCTATTTTTTTTCTTTTTCATCATAATCGGTCGGATAGCTCCTACACGTCGGGATCGAGCTATATTCGCGATGAGCATGTCGCGTGTGCTGAGGGTCTCGCGTGACTGTAAATGCCTTTCGTACCTTTCATGATATTTTTAGCATAAAAACAAATCGAAGATCTAATTACAAGTATCTAATTACAAGTAGTTGAGTGTTATAACCCCTGTTATATGCAGCGTGTCAACGCCGCACAGATGAGTAACTTGAAAACGGCACTCGTTAAAGGCTTCTTACAGTATTTACATGATGCCGTGGATGGGAAATGTGAATAAAAATGCGGGTCGTTTGTGTTGCCGATCAATATTTTAAATTTCTGACATTGTCTCGCCTGTGAGTGCTTATAAGAAAATTCAATTTTCTAATTGCAGCAATTAACAGCGCAAATTTAGTTAATAGTGAGCTGTATGTGAGATGAAAAATATATGGTACAAATATAATTTTTCCAATGTTTTGCAGCGACAATTCGGAAATTCTGTTCATAATGGAGAGTTTATCATTACCCACGGACCAAACAGATAATTTTCATTCACATTTCCGTTGAATAGTAATTTTCTTTGAACCTGTCTTATCTCGGTGAAAATTTGCCGAGTGATATCGTAGAACAGTCACTTGCCGTTTGTGTACAATTTATATGTATATATGTATACTATATACACAAAGTGTCTTCTCTTCGGTGTCGTATATGTGAACGTATGTGTATTTATATACACACAAACACACACGTACGTACACATACACTGTTGCATAACTCTAATAAAATGTATAAACATATCTTTGGCGGCGCGACAGATTGTCGACGCGCCCGATCGAAAACTTTTAACGGAGCTTTCAACGGAGCAACTTTCAGCGCACCAACATTTTCCGATCTCGAGCTATCGTCAGCGTGTCTCGTCTCGCAAATGAAAAATTCCCCCAGAAGACCTCGTCTTTACGTTATTTCGTCTAATTTAATTACGTGATCGATGGTAACTATCACTACTTTGATCGTTAAGTCGCTTCAGCTACGTTCGCGCCGTCACGTTTGACGGCGGATTTCAGTTTCTACGATCAAATTCGAGAGGTTGCGGAGCCGCGTCGATCGTGGATCGCTCCTCAGCGGTGATCGTTAAATTACGGCGGCGACGTTTGCTGCCACGATCGACGATCGAATTGAAATCTTAGCGATTAGCTTCGGAGACCCGTTGAAGCTCTTTTTTTCTCTACTTTCGTTTCAATTACGAGCGGAATTAGCTGTTACATCGATCGCGGGTCGCTTCTCCAGACGATCGTTAGTTCGCCCCGGCTGCGATCAATATCGTCATTTTATCGTTTTCTACAATTCGATTCTGGAGTGGAAATCAATCGTTTCTCGTAGATTTCTCCCAATCGCGAGAAGACATTCGGTTCCGCGTCGATCGCCGATCGCTGTCTCACATAAAGATGTGGTTTTGGGGCCTGGGAGGAGTCAGTGCAGGAATTAAGGCCCCAGGGCTCTCTCTCTCTCTTCACTTTCTTTCGAGTGCACTTTCTATCTTGGTCTCTTCGTTCCACGCGATTATCTCGCGCGTCTACTAGTGTCGTCGAGCTGGTTCCGCAAATGGGGTTTGTCCTGCGTGTACTGCGATGACAAGGACACTGGAAGATCGTTTCGACTCGACCAAAGCTCCTGTCAGGAAGATCGTTTAATAAACGATCGTTACGTTATACTCGAATCCTTAATTAACACGTGTGTTTTCGCGATGATTTCACTCGATATACTTAGAAAACTCGCGCGTGAACGTTGGAAGAAGTCCATCCTCATCGCAATGATTTTGGGATTTGGCAAGTAATACGTATCTAGAAGTAGAATCCACCGGAGACACGAGAGTCTGTGTATGTGTCGAGATGTATACATGAAGATTACCGATTTAACAATTAATTAACCGATCGCAATTGATAACCAGAGTGAAATCCCAATCGTCAATTCAACATGAAGGGGGCGTCTCGTCGCGTGCGTTGAAGTCGTCCCGATCATTTCTCGCGTTACGGATTTCCTTCGCAGTCGTGCCCGAGACCTGTGCGAGAAGATTCGAGAGCGAGTACGGTATCCTCGCGTGAAAAAAGTGTGCAGGGTCCTCGGTTGAGTGTGCGAACGACTTTGAGTAGCGCGCTCGACGAAGGAGCACTGGATAGAGCCGGGGTGCCTATCTTTTCAAGGGATTATTCAACAACGTTGTTCTTCCTCGGCGCGAAGTGGACGTGAGAGAGATCTCACGAGGATGCGATACAGAGATATATCATCATCATCTCGTCAGGGGTTAACAATCACACGGTGTCAGCATTATAACGCGCGGTCGACACTGCTAACGGCGATCGTTATGATGAATGCTTCGACGTGGTCGACATAATACAGCCAGAGTTCTTAAATGTAGCTTACGTCACATCGGTGTACACTTCCATGATATTTTGTGCGAGTGGATTATTCGGCGGTGTGTGATCAACCAGTAGTATAAGTCCGCAATCGCGGATAACATCGTCAGGATGGCAGGCGACATTGATCAGGGTTCGTTCGAGAGACGAAGCGAGACGCGGCGTAAAGACGTGAAAATATGTTTCCGCAGGTACAGGTGACGTGTGCGATTGGTGATGCGCTGACGGAACTCGTCCGGATACGCGCGGGAATAACGACGACCTTGCTTGTGTATTTGTACGCGTAGTTCGACAATGAGCGGCTTTCGGTTATCGAAGTGAGTGTTAACCCTGGTAGCCGTACGTGCACGCTGTCGATGAACGTCAGCATATCAGAAGAGGGAAGGAAAGCTTTCAGTTTGTTTCATCGTCGTTTTTTAACAGTGGAACAGCCTTCGCTGATTCATTATTAACACGCCGAGGGCGATGCCGTTCATATTAAGCGTGAGCTTCCGTAGAAGCTTCGTTATCCGTTTGCTAAAGTGACGCTCTCATTTATCTAATTAGAAATGATTTATCGAAGTCTCAAAGCCAATGAAGTGTAACACGTGCGGTTGGCAACGTGTTGGACACAGAAAAACGGTGTGAGCAGTAAGTCCGGATTTACGATAGAGGTAGTAGGCGTTTAATCTTTTGCTCTGAGCGATCAAACGTAAGTTCTGACAAAAGGCGCTCTCTGCGCTGCCAAACTCGCAATAACGTAACAAGTTTTAGGAATCGCGACTTTTGGTAGAGCTGGAAACGCTTTTCGCTAGAAATTGCATTACGATTTACTACTTAGAGCAAAAAGCTGCAAGCTTATACTACGCCATTGAAGATCCAGCCAAGATCTAAGCAGCGAACGAATTGATTAATAATCACATTCGTAGATAATCGAGAATAATAAGGGAAGTGTCACGTTAAAATTCTCGGTTGTGACAGATCAGGTCGATCACCGCTTAAACCCGATCTTAAGAGATGTGATTCTGTCTTGGATCGCGCGAGACGGCCGCAGAATTTAGGCCTGTTGAGGCTCTCGCATTGGGATCCAGCGTGACAGTCGACGAAGCGCCAGCCACATACAATGAAATCGACAGTGGGCGTTATTGAACCACCCGGCGATGTAAAAGAACATTAGTGAACAGCAAACATTGTAGCGGTGTTGCAGGCGCAGGAGCTCCCGGAAGATAAGAACGCACGCTCCGAGCGTGGCGGAAAATACTGCGACGGTTACAGAGCCGCGACTGAATTAGCTACGATCGGGCGATGAGGTGTCGTGTGTTACACAGTCGCGGTTACAAGCAGCGCGAATGAAGGTGAAAGCGTAGAACGCGTGGAACATAATAATGCGGGATTAGCGTGCACGTTGCGGGCGACCGGCGGTTTACAACAGACAGCGAGGTTCCCCAGTCGGACGAGAGTACGCGGAGATAGGTTGTCGACGGTGTTTCTTTCTTTTCGAGGTCATCGAGGTGCGTTCGGATAGAGAATCGATATGATACACGGTGTGTTTCTAGGCTCGCTCGGTCAAGAGCGCGCGGAAATGGCGTGGCATTCAGCCGAGGTTTCTGGATTTCTGCTTTTCTCTCTCTCTCTCTTGGTTACTTTTTTAGCGAGTAGCGCGACAGGAAACAGCCCCACTAACAGAGCGCAGCGATCTTATCGCGAGGTAGCGTTGCGCACTTCCTACATTCGGCAGCGTTACCGGGAGGTGAGCTCACTAAAGGGCGGTGGTGCGCAGGTGGGGACAGCGCTGTAGCGACAGGCCCCGGGGCCCCAGCTCCTAAATAGCGTTAAGAGCACGCGAGTCCTGCTGCTGACGACGCCTCGAGGCACTGCCGTAGTCGACGCCGTACTCTTCCTCGGTGCCGTAATCGTGCTCCCCGCGATCGCCCCGATCGCGATCCATTCGCTCCAGCCGCGATCTTCTCGTCCCGCCGCTGACGTGTCCACCGCTGTACGAGCCGGATCCTGTGTGTCAGGTAGAGAAACGTTAGATCGCGATGCACGGCTGACGACATCCGAGTGTTTTGCACAAGCGACATCGGCAGTATTTCCGCACGTTTATCGACAAGACTCGTGAAATTAAGCAACTCGTTGTTGAAACTGTACTTCGAAGAGTTTTTCAAAATCATGGATATTTTTTACGGTTTATTCAGATATTATTGCAAAGAGAATATTAATATCAAATACAATAGCGTGTACCGCGAGATACAGTACTATATTGAGGAGACGCACGTTTATTCCGACGACTTACGTATTCTGAATTATATCAGCTTTCGCGTTCTGAATTCTTTTTTCTTCTTGCCGAATAAAATGGAATTCACATAGTTTCGGGTAATAGTCAACTGACAAGTACAAATCTCGCTACAAGGAAGCTATTTACACATTCACGTCATTCAAACTCTATCCTATGGGGAAAAAGAACGCCAGCCGGGTCACGAGTGGTTAATCGTTGTGAGCAACAGGGATGAATCAAATTGTCCAACTTCCAGCCAACTTCCAGCCAACTCATTTCAACATCTCACGCTATTCAATCCATGCAAGCTCTAAGCGAGAGAAAAAAATTAAACAGAAAAGGGAGATATGTCGCAAAGACTCCGACGTTCGAGCTACCGTTGCGCAGGTGCGCAGAAATCGAGAAGTAGAAGAGTGTATTTGTGTGTGTTCGACACTTTGATGCAACCTCGGTACATGAATCTCGCGAGATGATAGATCATGTCGAGGATGAGGAGACCCTCCATAACTTCTGTCCTCTCGACTCACGCGGCCACGTCGTTAATCTCTACCGTTAAGCTATTCTATAGTCCTACTCTATGTGAGAGGGGTTGGTGAAGGGCTTGGTTGGTGAAATGTACCAAATTAAACGGGGAGGTAAACGAAGACAACGACTAGACTCCCGATCGCGACACGTTAGAAACTTCAACATTACTTCGCACAACCAAAGGATAATGAAACAAGAGAGGCATAGATTACGATACGTCAAAGCTAGACTCTGACGTCAACGAGGTGAAACTGAATCCAATCAAGTTTCATTAACACAGCATAAAAATCTAGAAACTTTCATTTCCAAAAGTAATATCTCATCTAGAAAGAAAAATGCACGAGAAATGATGATAGATTTTATTAAATTAATCTCAGGAGGAAACGTTGGATAATTAGCAACACAACTTTAAAGCGTGTCCGGACCGGAAGTTCAGTCGAAATATAATTTCGTCGGGATAGAGGTGTTGTTGTCTCGTGGGCGAGAATAAAAATAAATAAATAAAATTGGGCAACACAGTGGCATAATTGAGTCGATGCAGCAGCAATCCGATTAATGATTTTTATGATTCTTGCGATATCTATTTAAATAGATTTAACGAATGCAAGTAACTATTCGTAAATAAAGTAATAACCGTTGTAATACACATAAATTTAAACCGTAAATTAACGTGTGAATTAATGAATGCCTTTTAAAACTCGGTTTTCGACCTGGTCTTAAAAGCATGTGACATAATCGACTGTAAAAGAATATTAAAAGTGACTGCGAAAAATATCGAATCTTAATTCCCACATTCCCGCAGTTCCAAGGTTCGAGGGTGAAACTTTTAAGCAGAGCACAGATACGCGGAGAATAAAATCGTCATGTTATTTACATCAAAGTCTTATATTCTACGTGAAAGCGCCCTCGTGCGCACGACTGCTATCTGCATGACGGAATCCGTGGTTACTCCACTGCATGAAGGAGGATAAAGTAACAGGGGTACATAAATCATGTTCTCTGCTCGAGAGAGAGACGGAATCGGGTCGGTTCCGTGTTTCCGGGCCCATGCACCAAACCCATCTGTACTTACTACGCGCCCTCACAAAGGTATCCCTATTACACGGTCCCTAATTCTCTCAACCGCATCCACCCGGAATTAATATTCACGGGCCGGATGAAGCGTACAATTCGGCCGGTCTACGCTGTAAAATCGCATCCGCGATGAAGGAGGAAGTAGAAGCGGCCGCACAACGACAGGTATGTCCCGTTCTCGGGCCTTCTTAACTCGATTGTTTCGTCTTGGTCTCGTCACCGCGACCATAGTCGTACTGGCCCTCTTTTCGGATGACTCCCGTGGCAGCCACCGCCTCCACTTTTACACGTAAACAAAGAGAACATCGGAGTCAGAGCTCGTTGTTGACGACAACAGGGGCCGATGATATCTGCTCTTTGCGGCACCCCCGCGAGTAAAATGCCTTTCGCGAATTCTTTCGCAAGACGAGACGGAAATCGCAACGTGACTTAGAGAACATAAAAAACTCGCGATAATTACGAGTACTTGCAAAGGGGGCGAATTAAGAGTGTGAAATCGAACGGAATTCATCATTGGCTCTCTGCCTCGCGTGAACGCGTAACAGCTTTAGCGTTAGTTTGGCGTAGCTTGAAAGCGTGCGTGGATCTTGACAAATTTTTGTCTCGAGGGTTCACGATTTTTGTAAAATTCGAAATTGAATTGATGCTTAATATTCGAAAGAATCAGTATATTCTAATTTTTGCAGAAAAGCATCTTTAGACGAATATTTAGTCGAATATATTAAATTCCACGCTTGCGAATTTTCAAATCTTGAGAAATTGAGAAAAGTATGATTTCTTCAATAATTAAGGTGTCATTATACTTGAGGATTCGCTTGTTCAACACTTTAGTTGAAATTTATAAACAAGAAATACTTGTGACTGTGCTAATAGACAGCGCAGCGTGCACGAAGTAAGTTGCGATTAAATACGAGAAACATGTTTAATGATTATTTAACATATATCAAATACGAAGGGAGATCTTTTCGTGGCTGCACGAAAAGAATCGGGGGGAGAGCGATTGCACAAATAAAAACGAAACGTAGAATTATCCGCACTAACAGGGGAGAATAAACGCGCCTCGGTCTCACTGCACTGGATACATGTTCGTTTCGACCCCTACGTTTGATCCGTACATTGCCGCTGAAAAGAAATACAACGTCAGGATAAAATGATATCGATTCGATGACGGACGGACGGACACATGTTAATTGTAAAAGCAGCTTTAGTCGTCAGTGTCGTCTTGAGTGAGTAAATGATATGTAAAATGTAAGATTCGAAGACCGCTCAGTAATATCGACAGATCCTGCGAAACGTATAATAATGCATAATTCTACGTCAATTAAAGATTACAAATAACATCGAAAAGCATGACAAAGTTACGCTTCATAAAGTGAAGTGTTAAAAAAATGAAAAAAAACAACATTAAATATAATAGATATAAAGTAAATAAATAAGGAAGATTTCAAAGAGATAATAGATTCTAGAGTATGTAACACATGGAAAATAATTTATATAATATCAATATAGAGATCGTAATAGAGCTGCCATAGACCTCAAGATGCAATAGCTAATTCAGAATGCAGATGCATGTTATTAGGGCGAGTCTTCGAGGATATATATAGGTTTCTACTTCAAAAGTGGATGCGTGCAACGTCAACGTGCAACCATCTCTAGTGATGTACTTCGCTGGATGAAGGTAAAGACAAAGAGTACGGAGTGTATACAGAGATGTGCTCGAAGGAAAAGGTTGGGTTACCTCTTGGCTCGTGACCGTAGTAACTCTCGTGATGGGCACCTGAGAGAACAAGAAGAAAGTGTCGAGTGTTAGTGACAAAATTGGGGTTCGTTAAACTTTTGAGTGGGTTAAGAAGCGCGAGCGGGGTTACGACATCAAAAGAGGACGTTTCGGAGGAAGAGGGAAAGGGGGGGGGGGAGCGTCCGAGAAGAGGATGTCTGAGAGTGCTAACGATTAATAACACGGATCTTAGAGAATTTTTCCAAAATACTCTCATCGCGCTTCAAAACTCGACAGTCGTTTCTTCGAAACCAGTATTTCGGTCTGTACTTTGTCTCAGGTATTGTCACACTCGTTTATAGATGAGACCGACTTCCGGTCGGCGATGCCAAAGACGTCAGTCCACGTATTACGCGTCAATTTACGTTTTGCCAGATGGTATCGTTGCCAAGAACAATATATCGTCTCGCACTCGTTTCTACATTGCCCTCCGCTTTCCTCGACGATAATCTCCGCACAAGGCCATTGCGACCGACCGAAGTATTGGCTCGTCAGTATCGATATTTTACACCGGTGCTGTTCAAAATCTCCCACTGACTCAAAATCCGTTATTGCTTACGACAAACGGATACGGCCCTTGACCGATTTGTAAATCTCCGAATCTAATGTCGTGTCATTGATGCGCAAATATTGCAAGTAGGTCGCACAAAGACGCTAATATATCACGACGACAATGTTGTAAATTAACTTGCACGTAAAAATCAATTGTCTTAGTTATTCAAGTATAGGGAATATTTGCGAATCGAGGAATTTCCGAAATAATTTATACGGAGTTAATCAATGGCGTCTAACTGATCGTGTTAATCGTCATACCTGATGGCACGCGTTGCGTTAACGTATCTACAGGTGCATCAGGTGCTGGCACGGCACGTGGCACCGTGGAGATGTCTGGCGGATGCGTGGCTCTCCAATAAGCTTCCAGGTACTCGGCTACGTGTTCGCATGCTTCCTCCAGCTGATTCTCGTCCAGGATGACATCGAACATCTCCGGCGGACATTGTGACAGCTTCTCCGCGGCCACCATTTGTACACTCAGGTGACGTATCTGCGATTTTCCTCGGGTCTTGATCAGCCTTTGCAGGACTTTCGGCGAGGAAATTTTCAAGTAGACGATCGTGGGCGCCAGGCTGGTCTTCGCCAGCTGCGACGGGTGATTTATGGTGTCGCAGTCGAGAACAACTAACTGGAATTGGTTTAATTAGGCTTAAGGACAGTTCGTTTACACCATATCAAAGTTAATAGACGCGAGTCGGACGACCGAAATGAATGGTTCTCGAAACATCGTTCTAAGGAATTTTTCCCACAAACCTGAAGAGTCCTGGCAAGCTCGAAAATCCTCTCGATCTCCTGCTGAACTTCCGCTAAACAACTGTTCTTGTTGGTCCGATGATCCATGAGCGCTCTTTTCGTTGGATTGTTCAGCAGCGATCTCTTCGCTAACGAAATATCCGCCATTACCCTCGTGATTATAATCCTGTAACGATCGATTATTTGTATGCAATAAAATTCGCAAGGTGTTACAGAAGTATATAAGTGAGCGTTACTAAACTACAAACTCTTCTGAAACACACCACAGTAACGGAAAGTATAAACGCACACAAGTGTTGTATATTAAATAACTTCACGGTATTTGACAAAACTTGATACACGGCGCGCTCACTGTGCGCAACATATTGTAGCAGTAGCGCGTATAATAAACCGAACTAGGTATCTAGTTACACACAAACAATAAGAAGATTTGAACGAAATGAGACGAAGAGACGCCCGGTTCCTTCTCTCGCTGGTCCCAAAGGAGGAGCAGCCTACTTAGAAACAATAGAATCGATGGTCTCAAAGGGTCGACCGACCTGCCTTCGAAACGATGTTTGAGAAAATCGAAGAGCGCTTTCTGCATCATGTCCGTCACCTGGTAGCCCTTGAGCGACGGCCCGACCAACACCACTGGCCTCATGGAAGGTACCACGTCGTAGGGAGCTGTCGTCTCCTGAAAAAATTGAGCGAACGGTCAGTCCGACCAATCGAGACGAGCCCCGTTCGCCGGGATCAGTCCCAGGATAGTCTCACTTACGTAGGACTGCGTGAGCACGGTATGCAACATTGAAACATTGAAATCAGTTAATGGCCACGTCGACTTGACACATGCGACCTCCTGCACGGCCAAAGTCCTTCCCCGCACGAACGAACGAACGAGCCCATGTGCGATTCTCTTGGAGTACCGAAGGTACTTTGGCCAAGCAGCTTTGTTAGTAACTATCGATATCGAGCTAAGGTGTTAACAACCTCCTATGAGCTAATCGTCTCGGTTCTAGATTCTACTGTATGACGACGATGAACGATCCTCCCGACGATGCGCGCCGCCCGATAAAGATGATCGCTGGACGGATGCCGAATGGCGGTGGTGACGGGGAGGCGAATAGATCGATCGACGGATGTGTTAATGCGCGACAATATTTACCAGTCATTGCCGGAAATCGTCCCACATTCAACATTACATATACTGGCACCATGTGATCACATATGTTGGTCCTGTTATGGGGATGACTCGTAAAAGGCATTTGGCAATAACAGAAACTTCAATCGACAGTAACATGGCCCAGTGAGACTTTAAATCAAAAGTAATCTAAATGTAAAGAAATCATACATGTTACGAAGCAAGCGCTATTATCTTTGCCGTCGGAGTGCGAGAGAAAATAACGGAAGTCTCTCGAGAGGTGGTCTCACATTTTGTGTATTTTTGTCTGAAAGAAATCTCTCCTTTGAATATAACAGACTTATTTTAACAAAATTGATCTGCATCGGCCTCCGGCTCACGGAGCTTGCAAGCCACAGGTTGTCAAACACAGAGTTTACATCTAGAAGTTCCATCATGGCGTATTTCACTCGAATAAAAAGATTAATCACGCGCTCCGAGGCGCGCGTCGGCGCTCGGAATAATGTTTTTAAGACAGCACGTGCGTGGACTTTAATAATAATCGCGAACACACATCTACATACACATGCACATTTACAAAAATAATTCTAAATGTGTTCAGGAGGACCATGATATCTTTTAGCGTCGACTGGTAAATTTAGCTTCTTAGGCAGCGTCCATACGCGTGTTCAGCCGAAGACGAAATTCTTGGCATCGTACAACGTTATCTTCGCATATTTCCGCGCCACTAAGATTCAACTTCTCATTCTGCGCGACGATTTTTTCGAGATATTATAAAATCCTCTCTCCCCTCCGTCGCCAGAAATAAATTACTTCGATATGGACGAAGCCTGAAGTCGCAAGGTCGTTTTAGCCCATAGCTAAACGAGGATCGTCTGCACGCTAGACTAGCGTGAGTAGAAATGAGTAATCACGCATTCACCAAGCAACGTTTCCTTCTTAAGGAAAAGAGTCTTCTTCGTAAGAAGAGGAGTAGATGCGAGTTATCTTCAGCAATAATCAACATCGACTTAAAGAGGCCGTAAAGATATGCACTTCCCAAGTTTTATCAATTTGACATCCAGATAATGATTCCCGTTGTTTTTTTATGCACAATATACCGCGTTAAACGTCACGCTAGTTCCACGTGCGCAACTCGATCCAAGTGTAGAATAAAAGCCGACGAATCAGAAGAGTAAGATGTGCATGGTGCATTAGATATTCGCGACACCGTAACTCGCCGAGCGTTTACCGGCTTTTTGAAGAAGTTCTTCCGCTTCTCCTTCGCAGGTGGTGTCGTCAGGGTCGCCTTGCCGGGTCGCACGTTCCCGACGCTGTCGCTGTCGTCACCTGTCAAAAGAATACGTTCAACATTACTCAAACATTTTGCTCGTGTCCGGAGTAACCGACGAGTCCTTCTTTCTCTCAATGAAGCTATTAAGCAGCACTCAAAACTGATGATACAGCCTAGATGTAGTAATTCGGTAATTTATGCTTGAGTCCGCCTGTGGCAGCGACTATTGAGGTTCAGTTATGACAGAATCGAATGTTGCACGTGCGTTGATGAGCAGCACGAATACGGTGACTTACCTTGATGACTTTAGCAATGAAATAGAAAGTATAAGTAGAGCATGTATGAGGAAGCAGGTGCAGTAGTGAGCAATTTTCTTCGCGTGAGAGCAGAAATGGAGTCGCTCATGAAGATCTCCGTGTGAGCCGCAAACAACCATAGGAAAAGGAACTTCGATTTTCGCGTTGATTTTAACGTTTTGACAGATTATCATCGCATCGACGTTCATTCCTGAACGTGTTATTTAACGTTGTAATCCCACCCGTTCAGGTGGTTACATCAACTTGCGGACCACACAGGGGTTGCTCTCGATCTAGAATATATCTCGGGACGATACAAGCGATGGAAGCTGGTATTTGTGAGACTGAAGTAGTAGGATACTTAGGATCTCAAAAGCAAAAGTTATTCGCGTCACATCGTTTTTGATTTTTAAAACCGGCCTGTAACAACGATCCGTCCGCCTGTAATTCACTGTCGAGGATCGACGAGGGTCAAGCTGATAGAGTTCCCGATCAGGTACACCAGGTTGGGTACACCGTAAGTTTTGGGGGAAAGAAAGAAGGACGTGCTAGGATACCTGGCGTAGGTGGTGTGGAACCACGTGAGGGCATACCACTCTCAAGGTTCCCTGAAGACCCTCGTGCCAAGTAGAGACCCTTCGAGCCACGCGCGGCGTTCGCCTGCAACCTTAAAGCCTCCAGCTTCACCGGTGACGGGATGAAACCCACGTCGCAATTCTCTTTCACGAGCCTGCCGATCCACCAGTTGTTGTCGTACTTTTCCTGTAAACGAGGTGCAATTCGTAAGCGAACGGAAGTCATAAAACGCGCGACAGGAGGGACATTCATAAGACGGAGTGAACGTGCGCCCGTACCTTGATGTGAAGAAAATCGCGAACGTCAAAGCTGACGGCCGAGCCGTGGACGGGTGAATCATCGTCGACGGATCCGTCATAGCTCACGTTGGTTCGCACTGCAAACGCTACCGGCTTCGTCTGAAACGTAGATTGAGCTTATGATTTTCCGTGAACAATCAGAAAAAATCGTTTACCCGCTTAAAGATGGTTGTGGCGTGCAATGTATATATATGTATTTCGAGTGTTACTATAAGTTATGAACTTTACACTGTTGTATTTTCAAAACAAATTGTCAATAATTCTAAAATTTGTATATAATTTTATTTAATATCATTTTTATATATATATATATTATGTAAGTTTCAACGAATTTCTAAAATATTCATTTTATGCTACAACTACTTTAAGCACTCACACACATGTTTTTTGGATATTGCCTTATTAAAAATAAATTTCGCTAGTAAGTTTCAACATAACAAACAGTACATATGCTATACAAACACAAATACTATATTAATATTTACTTTTATTATATTTTATATTATCTTATTATTTTTTAAACTAATTTTATTTTTTATTTATTTCGACGTTATAGTAAGATATTGCGCATTAAAATATAATACACGTGTTTTTTTTGTTTTATAACGATTATCAAGATCAAATTAATGGAATGATTCGCGGAGATCTCTTCTCGCGATACGTAACGGACACAGGCGCAAGATCGAGTGGCAGGTGCGAGTGAAGTATGAAATTGCACAAACGTCAAATACAAGGATCCGATCGCTCGAGTCTTCTTCGACTTAGCAGTGAACGGATATTGATTGGCGGGAGACGACCTTCGAGGGACAGCTCGCCGCAATAAAAATGAAGAGCTTCGCGTCACGTTCCCGCGCAATAGTCTTTTATTCTTTATTAAAGCGATGATGTTGTCACTGGCAATGCGTCCACGCATAGCTGACAATGTGTCGATCGGCCGTGAAGCTTGTCATCAGCGGCCGGCTTTTATTTTCCACTTCACACACGCGATATAGTTATCCGTGTTTGTGTACACATTGCGATATAGGGACTGCACCGTGACCCGATAGAAAAGTCGATAACACGGACGAAGGGGCGATGAGACGTAACTAAACACGCTGGTACGCGACGACACCGCGATTGTCATGGAAGTTGATAATCATGACTCGTGCTTTCTTGCCGCGGATAGGTAATCGCGGCTGAATCTCTCTCTCTCTCTCTCTTTCTCTCGTTGCAATAGATACTCTTTCAAATTAATACACGCCGATATATTACGAGAAAACTATTTTACTCGAAAAGTATTATCATAAATTTTGTTTCCTCTGTAAATTTTCAATGTAAATTTAAAGACCGTCAGTTTTATTCCGATATAATGCTACCTCGCAACACGTGGTAAAAAGTAAAAATGAGAATTTAGATTTTTATCGATATATAAATGAAACTCTCGCGGTTAATTAAAGCAAATGTATCGTAAAGTCGGATTTTTAGTAGCGATGTGAAGTAATTTGCATATAAAATCCCCTTACGTATATTTATTATTTATTGAAAAGAAACACTTTTCTATAACTTTATTTAGCTGATTTGGATTTATTTAACTTACTTAGCTAGTTTAGTTAATTTTATGCGAAATTAAGAGAAATATACCTGCAATATTACAAACACAGAGATATTATTTCTTTTTTATTTTTCTTATTAATGCTTCATTTATACATCGGTTTAGCTAATAGATGTGCACACATGATAGAAAGTAATATATAAATATTTTAATTTTATGTTTATATATATATATATCGGGTACCGCTATAAATTGTAAATTTCCTATGGCTATATTTTCAAAACAAAATGGTCAATAATTTTGAAATTTTTATGATGTTTTATATTATATTAATACCTCTATATCAACCCTTAATATCACAGTATATGTTTACATATACATGTGCACGTATTTCAACACTTATATACCTCTTTCTATTATCTATGCATCTTTATTAAATCAACTAATGCATAAAAATAGCGTCAATAAAAAGATAAAAAATAAAAAGTAATAATATTTCCATATTTGTAACGTTGTGTACATATGTCTACCTCAAATTTACTTCAAATTAATATTTATTATTTAAGTAGTGAAATAAATGTACAGGAACACGTACAAGAAGTAATTTTGTTTGACAAATACTAAATTTACAAGCGGCCCCCTTGATGTGTGTGCGCCACTAAAAATACGGCATTTTACGATACAACTGCTTTGAGGTATTTCTAAAAAAGCCACGCGCGCATTCTTCTCGGGAGATAATTCTCGATACGAAAGCGTCGGCATTACCGCCGCGTTTAAACATTGAAAGCAGCAGTGCTCATGTAAATCTTGGGCCGGGTCGTACTTTACCGCAGATTTATCTTCACCGCTCAAGGGAGGAGCGGGCGTGAGGAGAAGTTACGCGAAGCGTCTGATTGACACTGCGCCGAGCCCTGTCCTATTTTTTCCTCCCTTCGCTTCCTATCCCGACGTTACGTTCCGTCGCAGACGCATCCGACCCCGTTGCCTCTCATGCAAATCCACGGTGTTTATGACGCGACAATGAAATACGACGACGATGATGAGACGTCCGTTCGATCGATAAAGGACGATCAACGGGCGCGCGAAAAGGAAACAGTGCGCGCCCGTGCACGCTTAGCACGCTGCAGCGCAGGGAGGATCAATCACTCACCCTGGCTTTTTCGAGTTGATTGAGGGCCTGCTTCTCCTTTTCGCGTCTCAAGCTTTCCTTCTCCTCGTCCAGCGAGAGATCCGAGCTCGGCTGCGAGTAGTTCGAGTCCGCCGAGCCCTGGAATCAGACAGGTCGTTTATTAGATTTCATCGCGAAATGTCGCGCACATTTCCAAGAAGCTTTAAGATGTAGGAAACGTTCGCCAATTATTCCTTATTAATCGTATATGGCGATATCAGCTAAGTAACTTTTCCATACAACTTCTGTGGTGCGAAACGTTCTCCTTCGCTGCAAATTATTATGATTACTCCCCTCGCGCGGTTCGTACGAACTTCTCTAAATATTATTACCTATTGACGCGTGACATTGAAAGTTTCCCGTCGAGACTTAGACATTATCGTGTGTAGAACAGTCCCAAGAAATTTCAAATATCGATTTATCACTACTGTAGCATATACATACGCGGTATTTCAAGCGGATGACGTGACTTTTCAATGAGGCGTTCCACACAATATATATCCCGCTTAGCAACGGTGATATCCTGATTGTGTGATTCAACTGGAATTCTTTAAATGCCACTTAGAGCACAGCCATGTAAAAAAATGTCAACATTGACGCATCAACTGTGAATGCTTAATATCTCAAAATGTTGAGTATTTCCAGAAGAGTTCCACTCTTTGAAAAACAGTATATTTAAACGTTACTTGCGCGCTCAGTGTTATCATGTGATGCAAAATGCGACTTTGTTCGTAAGACCGTGAGTGATAAGATACTCTACGACGTAGTTCATGACGTCTTTTACACTCTACGAGCATCGACGAGGATCCCCTTGGTACAAAAGAAATCGGTTGGATAAAGGTTAATTAGTTTCTTGAAAATTAAAATAAATTGAAATAAGAAAAAAGATCTACGCATGTCTGATATGGATAGTACGGAATTGTGGCTGACGTGTGAAGTGCGACGATATACGCCGATAAAATGGCAGCGATTTTCCGACCGATTATTTCGTAGATTCGTAGATCGTAGATTCGTAATATGTTTTGTTAAATTATGGAAGTAATGTTTTCATACAAATCGCGTAATTATTCTCCTATCAAGTGTAATACAGGAATATCACTGTTTTAGATTAGAAATAATGATGATAAGAAATAAATTAATATTTTCACTCGGAAGGATTTTCTGTCGCCTGAACCGCGTGACATCTCAAGCAGAACTTGTCCGAAGAACGTGAGAGACCAATATAGGGAGGGAAATAGACATTTCTTTTTATTTTTCGGCTCAGTTATGTCTGAAATGAAAATTCTTCTGCTACGTAGTCACATTGACCGCATGTTTCTTCACTCTGCAATGTGATTGTATTGTTTTTTCGATCGTTCGTTTATTTACAATTGCACTATGCGCGATTTACACCAATAAGAAACTATAAAATGGCCGAGAGATCGCTTCGACAGAACCTACCGGCACATTCCCTCACATCAAAGGAGCTTTTCGAGAAACGAATTTGCTCGGTCGTAACAGGTCGTAGCCATGCCAACGGCCTTTAGTTACCACCTCGTGACGGCGCGTATTCACCCCTGTGTGTAAATGTGTATACATGCGTGGCCTAAGATTCCTGTGCTCTGTGAGATGATAGCAGGACTTTCGCTAAGTGGAAGATTGACTTCGCCAAATTGGAATAATCTGCCTGATGATCTTTTGAAAGGATGTGACATATTGATTTTAATTACATTGCCATGCACTGCTACTCGATGTTACATGCCAATTTAATGTTCGAATAAACGTGTCGACGATTCTGACCGCGTCTTATATTTTTTATATCGTTTAACAAATACAGTTAATATATTGATATTTTTACACGATGAAATATATTACTTTTTCTGTGCTGTATTTATATTTATATCGGCGAGATGAATTGCGAATTAATATAAGAGTGTCGAATAAGGTCGACGTACGAAACAAAGACTACGACGTAGAATCTCGCCGACGACAATCGAAAGAAACATCGGATCTGAGAAAAATGAACCAAGGATAAAGAGCCCCAAGGCCATTAAAACATATCGCCCGAGTAAAGCTTGGTTTCAAGCGAAAAAAAAGGAAAGCCTCGATCGAGCGAGCGGTCGACATAAAGCGTCGCTGCGTTGCAACGACTGCACGGATGATCGCTTCAGCTTCACGCCACACTGCTTAATGCGAGCCTTAAACGTTGCAGAATATCCTATACGTCTAGGAAGCAACGAGTCTTTGACGTGAGCGAGCACTTTTCCTTGCGCCTCCTTGCTCAAAGTGCGGTCACGATAGTCAGTTATTTTTATACGGGTCCCGTCCTCGCCGCATGGAGAGTCCCTTGATGGCGAAGTTTAATTACAGTCGTTCCTCAACGAGGAAAATAAAAGGACGGAAAGGTGTTGTTGTTTTCTTGTTGTATGAACGTAAATTTGCCTTTTTTTTATCACAGCCTTGCGAAAGGCGACGAGTGACGTTGAAGGAGAAAGAAAAGGATAAACAAAGTGTAAAAATAGAGGAAGCGCGAGACGCAAAATGATCAACAGAAAATACAGCATGGATCTGTCGCTTGAAATTCTCCAGTTAGTGAAGTAAACAGAACCGAGTCAACATAAGCTCCGATGCGAATTTATAGAAAAATATTGAAATTCGCCGACACTTTTTCCCGCGCTTGTTTGTAGCATAGAAAGAGGAACGGAAGGATCTATGGATTTCCGATGTACCTGGGTGAATAGCTTGTTATAGCCGGAATTGTGTTGACTGTATCCAATCATCGCCGGGACTCGCCAGCATGAACGCCAAGGCCGTTCTTCTGATGGTCCTTATCCGCCTACGTCCCGATTCGGATACGAAGTTTATCCGGCTGGTGCTCTAAGCTCTCGCTTAGCACACGCTACCTCATGGTTGTTCCTCAAGTGCGAGATTCTCGTCGGAATACACGTTTATATTGCACTGACGTTCGAAGTTCGCGCCGCTACGCCATGTTGAATGGCGCAGTGGCGTGGGGCTCCCCAGAGCTTCCCTCAGATTTGTCGCGTCTCAGGCTTTTTTCGCTTTCGTTTGCAAGCCATCCAAGCACAAGTCCTGATCTATTCTCGAACGAGCAGCATCGTCTCACAGTAGCAAGCTACGGTGTATTCCGGGCTCATGGCGAATAATAATAAAATAATAATAAAATTCGATTCTCTCTCAAAAGTTCCTCTCTTATCAAGTCCCCGATTCTCTCTCAAAAGTTCCTCTCTTATCAAATCCTCAGTATAACAGATGATGACCTAGCATCTAATTTGCGTCGACTGTAAAGAAGTATTTTGTAAAGAATCAATCGTGAAACGACACACGCGGATAAATAACGGAATTTAACGCGATATTAATTCCTTAATTAATAGGCCTTAATCGTACCTTGTTCTTATATTGAAAAGCGTTATATAATATCCTAAAAATAAGCAATAAAAATCGTCATACGGAATCGAACTGCTCCTCAATCCGACCTGTTCTACAATTGACCCGGCCAAATTTGCTTACGAAGGAACGTGGAACGATTACGAAGAACTCAATGCCACTCCCTAAAATTGTCTGACCCACATCGCCGAAAATGTATACGTAAGCACACAGCATCAATAAATCACACAGCAACGGCAGAAAATAAAAATATCTTATACATCACATCATATACTTTGGTGATAATGAATAATACATATTGCCACGCTTCAGGGCTCCTATCTATATTGGTGACAAGATGTTTTAATAGCAACTGGAAGTTTTAATTCCGGTTGCTTCGATAATTGATGATTATTCGAACTATGGATAAATATACTTGCAACATTTTGTAACGAAGAGAGAAGTAGAAGACCATCAATTTACAACGACGCCATTTTTACCGGCCCCTGATACCCATTAAGATTCTATTACGTTCACAAGCCACTCCACTTGAACAATCACGGAATGCACTTAACGAGTTTGGTCCGTCACTTTTGCTACGATTCGACTGATATAAATTCGCACTACTTAATTCCACGAACGTGATCAGCGTCTGTTCCATTAACCACCTAAAATATTCAAGGTAATTGTAGTCGATTGAAAATTTCATTGCTCGCGCAATTCGATAATCCTATTAGGTCACGTGATACAGCAAGCATCAGACCGACACAAACGTCGTGACAGGATTTTATACAACTATCAGCGAATAATTTCACCAGTGAATTATTTACGCGTTCGCTGCGTAGTTCATTTTTCATTTTTCATTTTTCATTTTCGAAAAGGTAAACTACCGGGAACATTGATGGGGTGTTGTTGGAATTAAATAATTCAGAAACAACCGATACTTGTCCAACGATATGATTTTCATCAATAAGACAAGCGAAAATATTTCTCTATCCTTCTTTCTCTCTCTATCTCAAAAAATTTTTAAACTACATTCCATCTCTAATAAGAGACAAATTTTTTAACAATATTATTTTATTCATCCAAAGGAAAAATCGATAATAAACAGGAGAAATATAATTTTCATTTATATACAAATTTGCTTGTCACTCTGAAACTTATGCAGAACTTGAGAAGTATCATGCAAAAGATAAGGATAGATCTTTTCATAGTACAATGCTAACTTCTCTAATTGACTAAATTTCGCAATTGATAATGCTCTATTTTATCTGACTTGTTTGTCGGCAGCTTTGACGACAAACTTTCAACTGATTGTCCTCGTTGTTGAACAATCCTTGAGGTAAAGAAGATCAGAGATGGCCTTCAACGGCGCTATTTACGTAAATCGACTATTTACACGCCTCGTATGTAGAAAACTTACATTTTTCCAATATTAATTTATCAAAAAATCCCGATTACGCAAAAAAGAAAAAATTTATTATTTATATCTCTAAGAATTATACTGAAGTAATCAAAAAGAATGATTTTCTTTTTCGTTAAAGGACGGATTAATTTTCTTCGGCAACATTCAAACGGCAAACTTGATGATGGAAAACTTTCCAAGAAAAGTTTGTTGCGCATCTACGTGCTAAGATAAAAATTAAAATTTTGTCGAAGCAGAAATGTAGTTGAAAGAAAGTGTACAATTTTTTCGATAATCTGATTATGACGTGCAATAAGGTGCAAAGAGGAATTAAAAATTTAATTCCTGGTAAATATAAGTGACGTCATCGCGAAGGCAATTTTTCTATAATATATCAAAGAGAGGCTTTCACGGCTTCCATTTATCGGCCTCTCATCACCTTTGGCAAAAAACCCTGACGTGTAATAAGAATGGAAAGGTAGAAATTAGATTGGAGTAGCAAAGTGACCCCGCAAAAGAATTATGTGTCTACTGGCATCGTCACGCAACTCCCTGATCACCACGTCTATCAAGGTAATTAATTAATCCACCGTAAAAATAACCCTCGCAAATGGCATCGTCATTGGCCTCACATGTCAAACGAAAGTGCAGCAACTCGAGGAAACGAAATCGACTCTTGAATTATCAACTTCATTCTGGGACAATCGATACTGTTGACCCTCTTAGGAATCCGTTCGCCGAATTTGTTTTCCGATTGAAATCTCGACACTGTGCTCTCGAAATGAAGGTATTAGCGAATTAGTATGTAGTTAATCAAAGATTCTTTCTCCCCGACTGAAAAATCACGAAGAAAGAACATTCACTTCAGAGTGAGAATAAAAGCAGAAACGATGGAGACAGACCTGTTCTATAAACCTGAAAAATATCGCGAAATCTACATCTTAATTAGCTTAAGCGACTTTAATTGCGTATCGTGCTGCACGTTGATATTAATACCCGGTACTACGCACCCTTTCTCAGCGAGTTTAACTTTCAGCTAAACAAACACGAATAACAGCCATTGCGAGCCTAACATCTGTACATTCTTTTTCTGCATTCAGAGCTTCCTCTTTTCACGATCATACTGTGCGAGACGAATTGGGCCAAAACACCGATCGCTTTGTGGATCAATAAGATTTTTCGAGCTGGCCATTACTTCTCAAGCGTTAATCTTCGGGAAGAATCTCGGAAAATATCGACGGGGCGCGACCGATATAAAAGATCAATTAAACTGATGAAATAAAATCCACCTCGAGCTCGACAAATCAAAACTCTTCATCGCGACCTACACCGAGCCGCTAAACCGATGGTACACCGCAGCACCGTGGCGCCTGGAAGCAGGTCAACGACATCGTGCAACCTCGAGTACAGTTTCCACGTTCCAGCTCGCCAACCGATCGACAAATAGCGTCGGTCTTATTAACTTCTATCTGCGTATGTCCTATCCGCTCTATTATTCCTCTGCTATTCTCCTTAATCTCGACATTCTCCCTCTCTCTCTCCTCTCACCCCCATACATGAACTCTCCTCCACACCAAGAAGACCCCATGCAAGCACCGAATGGATCACCCGTTCACTTTGGAAAGCCTTTTTTCCTCCTCGATATAAGCGACTATTTTCCGTTTCAGGGGTTCTGAGAGCACCTTGAGCGCACGTAAAACCGCGTCCTATACTAGCACTCCAATATATCACAGAACGCTTTCGGGCGACGATTCAAAGGGGGCAAAATTCGTATCTCGTGAATGTCGAAGGGTTCCTGCGATCGCACCGCAAACGAAACATCGTTCCCGAGGCGTTGGTGGTTCGCGTGCGTGGCATCGCGCGTAACCACGACACGCGAGCTTTCACCCCTGCGTCGGGCCTTCGCAACGACGGTCGCGACGCGGAGTCCGCGAGAGCGATTGGTCGGCGGTGCCTGCGCGCACTGACACTACGTGGTCCTCGCGAATCGCACTCCTGGCCGGGTCGCCGGTACTCCGGCAATAGTACGTTTTGCGACTCGTCCGCGCGCGGGCGCCAGCGCGGATGTCGGACGACACCCCCGTGACTATATCGATCCGCGGGGCGCCCCGGCTCCGCCGCGTCCTCCTCCGCAAACCACCCGATGCGACGCGCACGATAACGCCAGGCCACTGCACCCTGACAGCAACGTGTCCTATCAACCACCCGGTATACGCGTTTTTCCCCTATACAGATATAGAACCGGCGACCGCGTGGTATGGCAGCAGCCGAGGAGCAGCAGCCTGGGCTGAATCGGAAAACGCGAGGGAAAACTCATTTCCTCCGCGGGGCGTGTTACAATTTCGAGTTCCCCTTCGCGTTTACACACGTGGCCGAGCACGATCCGATGCAACGCGATGGGCGACGAAGTCGGTGAAAACATAAACTCGATCGACGCGTCCCTTCTCGCGTCGTTTGGAAATCGGAATTGCAGGGACAGTTTCCCCAGTGTGGAGAACGACGGAAGAACATATTTATCTGAGAGACTAACCGTGTTCGATAGTACCGTCACGATGAGTAACACCTAGGGAGCTCTTATCTAGCTCGGTCTTGCTCTCTTCAATATGTTGCCCAGTTGGCTGCTCTTATTATCGTCGGCAGCGTGTTAAAACGAGACAGCGTTTAATTCCTTCTTCAAGCTGATCCATTTTTATTCGGGTCGCGCTCGTATATGAGTGTCCCATATGTCATAAGCATCGCGGGGATTGCAGATAAAAAAGTAGCCACTCTTATCTCGAAAGAGGTGCCGACCAACGGCACCCTCTGTATCGCGGGTACTCTACATTGTAATATTGTTCAGCGATAAAGATACTTTATCGTTCCGACAGTCATCGACAATAGATTCCGAATCAACATTGTCGCTCCTATTTGGAACTTTACTATGAAGAGCTGTGCAAATGTTAATGATTCCGAGCGGCAATATTCACACGCGTCCCCAATTTTATTGGGTCGCTTTATGTCCTGTGATTCGACACGGTGTATTGTCTTTTAATGGCGGCGGCGAGACGGAAATAACACTCGAGTTTCCTCGTTAAAAACGAAGTAAGCGAAAAATTTCACTATTTTCAGCAATCAGTTACATAGCTGAAATCTGGGTCATCCATGTAGGTCACGCAGGGTGCGTGCGCGTGCTGCTTTCCTCCCCTTGCGGCTCGCTGCCTTTCGCCTCGCAGCCTAAATTGCAGTCAGCTTAAAGCAGTCAGCTTTATTCGCTTATCGCGAATACCACTTTGCGCTCTTCTCTCACAAAACTCACCGACACTTTTACGCATAAAAAGTTCGTTTTCCATTATTATTTTCTGTTTCTTGTAATCTCTTCATTTCTCTCCGTATGCGTATTTCTCAAAGAATCTAGATCTCGAATTTTGAATTTCTTATTAGTCTTTTTTTTTTCAGAAAAAATATACTCCAAATCTCGCTCGATGTTTCAGCGGATGAAAGCAAGCGTGTTAAATCTGGAGAGTATCTTGTAGGTATCCGAGGGCAACAGCTCTGATCTCAAGTCGTAATTCGTAAATAAATGATCGACGAACTATACGAGCGTGACGGCAGCTCCTTTCATCGCGGTCACGTGGCGCTATGCAAAAATAAAATTTAAGAGCATTGTGCTTGCAGAGACGAAGCGCGCATGCTCGCGATACAGCTAGCGGACGCAAACCGATCGAATTGGAACTCGCTTTTATACGTACGTATCTATAGTGCAATCTTACCAATAAATGGCATTTCGCCAATGCAAATGTTACAGCTATTGAAATAAAACGCGTCTTTGGACGATGTCGACCCGTTTTTATTCGCGTGATCTCTGTTTTATCGCCACGAAGTCGTGCCTTAATACATCTGTGCTAAAACAGGTGCCGTAATCATCGGTCCATCGACCACTGAATGCTCTGACCTCGTTATTTTCCAGACACGAGATATCTGTCGCGCTTGGCAGTTATCGCGATTACAAAGACGACTTTTTCGGCAATCGAAGGACAGAACGGCTATTTTGAGAAAAATTTTCAGCAGCACATTAATATCTCCTCACTTCTCCTCCTGGAAATAGACTCGACCGACTCGACGCGCGGAATTCAGCGTTCCATCACGTTCCCGTTAAAAAAACAGCAATAGGTAATATTATAAAAACGTTTACCCTACGATTCATCCGGCTTCTCCCAAAAGGCTTGTAATGATCTCGTCTCGGTGGTCCCCGCATGTGTGCCATGTTATAGGACGGTAATTGGCGAATCGGACAGGAAATGAAGATCAACCAAAGCTATGGACGCTCGTTGACACTGGAGGGAAAAACCGATCTGCCACGTGTGTATCCGACGTATCCGGTTGACTGGATCAGTTTTCGTCAGCTTCGCGAGTCCATTGACTTCCGGCGCAAAGTACGTCGAGCCCAGACTCGAAATCGCGTTCATCACGTCCTAACGTTTGTTTTCTCTTAGTTAGCCCAACACTGATCCACACCATGCACGCATTTTACGTGGAAGAGATGCATCGAAATGGCAGCGAACCGTGATTCAGACACTTAAGGAAGATTCTAGGAACAAAGCTGTCTTTTGTTGCAATGACTGATTGTAAGCACTTCTCTGCAATAGCTAATTGAAGATTCGTTGTTTCTGAGCTTGTTTACTGGATTTGGCAAGAATTTTATTTCGTACAGAATGATCCACACGTAATGTTACAAGTTGTTCTTCTTGAAAATGTATCAAGATTTAGTAAAAGAAATTGTGTTTGATATTTTAGAGTCTGAGTGAAGTTATTTCATAATGCAGTTCCATACATATTTGGTCTCATTGAGTGACATTACCTTTGAGAAAATGAGTAATATCTAGATTCTCTGTCTCGTGAAAACCGGAGATTGATGTGTTGGTCCGTATATCGTTCAATCTTTGGATCAATGCCGACACGTAAGTGTAACAGTCTCTGACGTTCTCAGGAATATATCAGACACATAAATCTTTAACCCTGACCTTGACTCATCATTATAACTTTTAGCGTGGGAATTGAATGCAAATTATCAATTATAGATATCATTCAACGATTACATCTTATGCTGAACAGATGAACTTTTCACAATAAATATTATTAATTGCTTGAAGTGCAGAATACGAGATTAGATTAAAATAACTCATTTGTTTTTATTTTTATTATATACAATATACAAAATTGCTTTGACGAATAGAACAATGTTGAAAATGGCGTCGTGAATTCATGATAAATTATTTTAGCTTCTAGTAATCTTCAAAGATCTAGAAATCCAGTTGTAAAATTGGCGCAATCCAGTAAACAATCACGAGAAACGTTAATCCCTTAAGATATGATGATTAATCGCTGTATTTTACACACCTGCAAGGCCTTCGATCAATTTACTTGTCAGTAAACTAAGACACATTTTTCGCGACACAAAGTCGCGACACAAAGTTTCCAACTACACTATATCAATATTAAATCAATCACTTTCAACCCAGCCGCGACGGTACCAGTAAGTCACGTGTTTGTTTTCCAGAGAGCTGCAGAATCTCAATCCAGACAATGTATCGGTCGCGAACTCGAGCTATCACATCGGCGAGGTGGACTCGCGATTTTCGAGAAAAATTTTTCTTCCGACAAGTCCGATCTATCGGTAAACGACGATTTCTGGAATCTGGTGCGAGATGAGCTCGGTGTGGATGTGCTGGTGCTACTGGTGAGTCGAGGAGCTTTTGGAACGCACCGCGACCTCCTCCGCTATAAATAAAACGGCGGCCGCCACACCGAAAACTCTGCCAACGAAACGGGTAACGTCGATTCATCGTAATTTTCCTCGCGAGACTCAGAAACCGGGAAATTTTCCGGGTGACGGGAGTTAGCCGCAATAGATTGCGCCGCCGACGTCTTCAGGTTCGACGAGTCGATTTGCGTGCCAAGTGACACTGGTCACCTTAGATGTCGTGTTTGTTGAGACCTGAATTTTCTCGCTATCTGTACCTGGTTCGCGTTAAACGAATAGAAATTCTTTCGCGTGCTATTTAACTTGTTCCTTCAAATATTCCTACATCATATTAAAAAAATTTTGAAAATTTCTTCTAAACTATGCTAAAGATTTGCAACGAATGTAGTTTTAGAAGTGACAGTTTATTTCAGCGTTTCGTAATTATTTTTGCTCAACTCTTACAAGTTGTATTTCTCAGAATTGTTTTGAATGCTCTATTGGCAGTAAGCTCGGTACGAATAACATTGATGGATTTATAAAATTTCGTTGAGGTTGCTAATGCATATTTTTTTTATTTTAAGGAATCGGGAGATATCTATGAACGGTTAAGTTCTTACAGTTTCTTAGATGAAACTCTGTTAATCGATATTTCAAATAACATATTCTAATTCAAATATATATTGTCGTGACGTACAGTCGTGACACAGTAATAACAACAATTATCTTGAAAGACTTTGCTCAGAATGTTTCTAACATTTTACTATTCAAATTAAATTGATAAATATGTAACTGACTTCATCGAAATGTTTAACTTGAATTCTAAATTAAAAATACCTCGGACTAAGGCTACAAAAATGTAGCGCCCGTCCTGACAGGTTGAACATATTGCCGAGAACGAAATTTATCGATTATTTTACAGTGACGCAATTCACAGGAGGCGAAGATCGAGTGGCGGGTCAAATAACCCGGGTACGATCTTGTACGAAAACTATGCGCCGGCTCATATAACGTAGTGCGATAGTCACGTGTCAAAAAAACACGTGAGGTGTCCGCAATGTCAGGTTGAGCTGTGCACTATTACTTTGTATATCATCTGATCTTTGGATAATTATCTCTGGATAACTATCCTTGGGAAGGTCACTTTGCAAAATCTTCAGTTGAAACGTTATCCTGGTGGGATAACCGGAATCTTTGATGTAACTGTAGGTACTTGTAGCGACTATAGATTATGACTCAACCGTCCCTCGATTAGTAACGAAAATGTACCACCTTCTGTTTTACCGACGAACGGTGATACCTGAAAACAATACTCTAAAAACATGAAACTTCACCAGATGTCTGTAATTCAGTCTTGTCTGTATCAGTTTCAAATAATTTACTTCGCTAACGAAATATAATCCTCTCTCTCTCTCTCTCTCTTTCTGAAATAAGCTCAGATAAAATATCTCTTTGATGATTAAACGATCGAATCGAGTTACGAATTTACGATGAATCAACGCGTCAAAATTGAAAGGTCCGAAACAAACGGTCTTTCTAAGCTGTTATTGAAACCTCTTAGTAGCAAAGTAAACATGTTTTGCATCTGCTAGAAATAAATAAGAATGACAGCAAGCGGGTTGTGTCATCGTTTATGCATGCAGCGTTTATGAGGTCGGATTTTTCAAATGCTGGCTAAGAAAGTCGCGTCAATTTCTCAATAACGTGAACTGAATTTCCGCGCGAATGGGACAAAAATAGCGTATCCCATCGTTGCAATCTCCTCGCGAATAATGAGACGCTTCCTTCTCATTTCGGGCCGCAAACGAATCGTCAATGTTCTCCGTTTAAGAGCGCCTCGGATCGGCTTCTGCAACGCTCGATTTGAATAATGGACGCTGTCGTCGAGGCAGGACGTCTCTTTTCAGAAAGAATCGATGGTGCTCTAAATATACGGAGCCGAAAGTCGTTGCTTCACGAGCTCGACGCGCGCGCGCTTCTCTCGGGCGCTGTTACGTTTCCCGCTTTAATTATTCCAGCGTCTTGGTATTTCCGCTGGTATTTTCGTTGCCGCACGCCGGCCGCGTTGTGCACAATGCGCACATTAAGCGAGATGCCGGGTATTATAACGCGATAAGATTTACTGGTAGCGTACCACTTGAGCACGCCGGAATGTCCGCCGTGAGTACCCGGGGAGATACTGCGGGGTAATCAAAATGGAATTACGGTTTCCCGTCATTATCAGACCCACGCTACAATATAATTCACATAAACGCGAACGAATAAAAACCAAATAGAGAATTCCAGTAGTTGTTTCGAATATTGTGCATGGCTCTTTCCCTCTCTCTCTCTCTCTCTTTCCGAAACCTCGTACTTACTTTTACTTTGATTTAACAATTGGCAACGCGCTTGCTACTTCGAGGAACGGGCCGGCCAAAACTAACGAGCTCGTTCGTCTCCCGTTGCATATGCTATTCGGTCACATTGTTAGCGCGTACCTGCACCTGCTTCGCTTTTCTCGCGATTGCATCACCCCTCTTCTCTCTCTCTCTCTCTCTCGCCGTCGTTGCCTCCGGAAATGTAGGCCGCTTTGACGAAGCGCTCGCGGCAGATTTAGAATCCGGCCTGGCCCTACGACGCGTGCTGCTTCGAGTTTTTCCAGAGCACGAGATCGGGCGTACCCGCGCACTTTCGTGACGCTCGCTCGCAGCTGCAGCAACACGCGGGCGCCGCGGCACGAGAAAAAGGTCGAGCCGCAAATTGTTCTCTATTGCGGCAAATTAGCGGACGATCGCTATCGAGAACCTGGAATTATTCCTTTCGAACCGGCCGCGTGCTGCTGGCGACCGATAATGCGCGAATGTCCCGGCGCACCCTAAGTTTTTTCACACCACGAGGAAAACACCTAGCCTCCAATATCCGTCCGATATCAGAACCTTTTATTACCCGCGGCCGTAAGAGCGGACGCGAAAGAAGTGATACTCGCAACTAAGAAGGAAAGATATTGGAAATTGGAAGCGGTAAAGTTTGACCCGATATCGACGGCCGTACTTATTTTCTTAATCTCGCCGCATATTCGCCGGCGTCGTTAACGATATCCACGGTAATCGGGAGAAAATTTCCCACTCTCGGAATAACGGTCTCTAACCATTTGCGAAAGATCAGACCGCAAAAAATAGAACGTGATGTGTGTGTGTGTGTGTGTGCGTGTGTTTTTTTTTAAATATTCCCGACTTTGCACGCGATTTTCTTTTTATATCGCAATAGCCGGAGTCCGCCGCGATATTTATAACGGCCGAGTCTTCTCGGGTTACTATAAAGAGAAACAATGCAGGCCGGAGGAACGGCTAGTAAACTTTTCCTAATGGTGAGCGCGCGAGTACGTAAGGTGCTAAGTTCGCCGTAGGCCGGCGGATAGACAGCAGATGGCGGACACCTGAGCATCCTCTCTCGAAAGTTTTGGCAGGCGGGCGATAAGATCAGGAGAATTCACGTGGTATATCGCCGGGCCCGTCGTACAATTATCAGTTTACTCGCGGCTCGATTAAAGGATACGCCGCGAGGAAAGAGGCGAATTAGACGCGCCTCAATGTGCGATGGCCTTGAACCGACAACGAAGACGACGACACAGATAGTCATGAAGGCGAATTAGATCCAATCGAACGATTAAGGACGACCGACAACTGCCCGAGGACTCGGTTACTTCAGAGATAGAGTAACTCGAGTCGCGGCAATACACGTCGAAACTGTAATCGGAGATGCGATCAGAGCTCGATTATCGTTACGACGATGAAATTAAAGAAGATCGTTGATCCCTGGTCGCGTCCCGCGTGCGGACCAGCGACCAGCATTGTGATGTAAATGAAACGGGAACGCAAATGAAAATACTGGATCGCATTGTGACTCCTCCATCCAGAAAAATACCTCATACCTACCCCCGCTCCGGTGTATACGCGCAAATGGGGGAAAGCTGGAGGAATATTTCATTTATTCAGAAAATTCAACGAATTCCAGGGGCGTTCGCGCATGACAAGTGTAAAGTAATGAGCACGCAAAAACGTCAGGAGGAATATTGCCGGCGAGTGTATTAAATTAAGAAGCATAATACCATGCATAATACTGTGATTACCTGATTCGTTTAATTTGTGGGTCAACGTTACGTCGTATGTACAGATTCATGATCTCGGTGCGGCGTTGTATCGTAGATAATGCAATACGGGATCGGGAGAGTGGCGGAGGTAGAAGGAGAGAGACGGGAGTCGGCCCGATAATTACGTTGGTCGTCGCTCTAGGCGCACGCTATACCGGTCTGTTAAAAGCGACGTGTGCATGCTCTTAGAAATAAACGTGTCGTGCGATTTACAACCGCCTTCTCTCACACGCTCATACCACGGTTCGTGCATCGGGCGCGCACGTCGCTAATGGGGACAATTTCGTAGATTCGAGAGAATAAACGCGACCTGAACGCACGAATTGCCAAGGAACGCGCCGCGTCTACGAGGGAGACTTCTTGAAATCGAATCTCGATTTTATATATCCGCATGCAGACGAATTAACAATTCAACCATAATCTGCAAGCGCAAGATGGGTGGGCAAGATGACGAATTGGACACATTCTCGAAAAATTTCAATTCAAATTTTATTTATTTATATATTTCTTTCAGGTTACACAGTTACACATTACAATACGCAAAGCTTTAATTACTCAAGAAAATGTTGATAATCATTGTTACGTTACTAGAAAAATGAGAGACAATCGGCAAACCTTAAGATCGTCATCTTACCCCTCTTTCCCTTGCTCGGCAGATCCTCCTTCGGCGTGTTTGTCAAGTTAAAATTTAAAACTTTGTTGTCGTGGCGCTACTGAATTATAATATATTATTTATGGTCAGATCGGAAAATGTAGACATATCTGAAGAGTGAGAATCAAGATCGCTTAGAAATTGAAGCGCGCCGTGCGTTTTACAGCCGCGTTTACCTGGCGGCCACCTGGCGCACCGGCTACACCTATGTTGCAGGTACGCGTGCGTGCACGAAAGGTACCTAGATACGTGCGCGTAGTGGAATACCGTCCAGCTTTCTCTTTTTATAGCCCTCGGAGTACCGATCTCACCTCCATGCTTCACACAAAAGCGTAGTCGTGAACTGCCGCCGCAGCCGCTGCTGTTGCTCTGCCGCTCACACACTAAACGCGTGGGTGTATCGCGCACACGCATTATTGCGGCGCATACGTAAATGCTCAGGTACAACCTCTGTTGGGATATTCGAGGAGATGGGGGCCCTTAAGAGGTTTGCCCGCGAGTATATATCACGTTGATTAGATTTAGAAATATCGCCGGCTAAGGAGTCCGGTTGACCCGCGATCTTGCGATCGGGTTCTACCACTCCCGTCGAAGGAAGCCTGGTCTCTCCTTACTTTCTTCGACACAGATATTCGAGAACAATAGAACGATGGCTGTTACGTTTATAATGATTGTGGAATTGATATTTAATTATTTGTCAGATAATTACCGGGGTGGAGTCGAAACTCTTTCGAGAGCGATTGAAAGACGTTGGGCGTTATGACCCGATGAGAACCACCAAAAATTTGTCTCGTATCTTGTGAGACAGGAAGCCTTATCTGTCACTTCATACTCTACACCTCACGTTTGGAGTCCCTAATCACCACTGAAGTTTCCCCCGTGGAATACAGGTTAGCGTCCGTGTCGAAGTTACAACTCCTCGTCGAAATGGAACGGTCTGATAAACGGCAACTACTTCGAACTGGTCCCGGCGGTATAACGAGGTAAACGCGTTCCCTAGCATAACTCGAATGCCCACTTAATCAAATTTCATTTCGTCGAAACGTGCCTCTTTAATTTGTAGCCCCGGGAACGTTTTCATTACGAACTAAATAAATCGTCCGATATATCGGGAAGCATATCGACATACCGCGGTGTGTTACCGCGCGACACGTATCGGCAAAACTTCTGTCGCGCGAAAAATCACGCAAAAGGAGGAAAGGCGAGACACGTAACGGCAAGCATTCGTTCGTGCAGGTTACAGGTTTACGCCATTTCCTTTCAATTTCTCGGCACCCACAAAGTGACGGCGCGCCGATACGCCGGATAATAATGTTATTACTGGTGGCACGGCGAAGTAAAAGCCAAGATATAGGCGAGAAATCGGCCCGGAATTCTCGAATACCTGGGCTCTGTTCGACATCTGTTGGAGTGTAAGCGGCGCGTATCCGAACATGCGCTCCGTACAAATTACTTCGGCAATCGCTCCGGGTGTTTACAGTCATTGGCATGTAAGTACCGTACATGCCCGAACCGCTGTGCGTACACATAAGTACGTGTTATGTACGCACGACGACGACGATTGCGTACACGTACGAGCACCAATTGCCGTTAACACTCGCGTTGCGTAAGCGGGAACTCCGATTTTCTAATCG